CCAGGCCTGGGACTGCCTTTCAGGGAACTTGGTTCCCCTCTGGCCCAAGGCAAGTCTACAAATGCTGTCCAAGAACCAGTGCCTGGAATTGGGAACCCTACGAGCCCGCCTGGTACTCTACTCCACTGTGGCCAAGCCGGTGCCTAAGCTGAAGACAAAGTCCCTTTTACTCTTCCTTCTGCTGTTCTCAAGCAGGAGTCTCTCTTTGTAGCTGCCCCAGCTGGGAATGTGCTGGGTCACACATGAAGCTGGCACATCTTAGAGTCTCATCCAAGGCGCATGTACTACTTAGCTGCTGTTTATCCAGGGCCCACGAGCTGGCGATGAATCCTGTCAGGACTGAGGCCTTCCCTTCCAGGCCTTCCCTTTCTGCCCCAGGGTGTGTCTAGAAATGTCATCTAGGAACTAGGGCCTCAGGACTGCCCAGTGCCCATTCTACTGTGGCTGAGCTGATATCCAAGTTGCAGGACAAAGCCCTTTGTACCCTTCCTTCTCCTCTCCTCGAGCGGAAGGAAGGAGTCTCTTTCATAGCTGTGAGCTGTGCTGCCTAGGGTTGGGAAGAAGTGGCACAAGCACCCTATTAGCTACCCAGGGTGGTGTCTCACTAGTTGCATGCCACCCCTGTCCACTGCCTCCAAGCCCAGCACAGCACTTGTCTTGCCTAGGAGTTGCAGTCCTTGTGACCTAGACTATCTTTCAAGTGTATTTACGACTCCAGAGAACTTGAGCCTGTGATGGCAAGGCTTGCCAAAACTTATGTTCCAACCATGAGGATGAGCAACTCCCTCTGGCTAGGGATGGTCAAAATGTTCCCTCTGGGGGTATCATTTGAGTTCTACCTGGTGTTGCTTTCCACTGTGACAGGGTGGCACTGAATTCCAATCAAAAGTCCCGCAGTCACTGTACTCTGTCTCTACAAAGCACACAGATTCTTTTTCTGCACCATGCAGCCACTAATGAGGGATGGGGATGGGGTGGTGTTGGCAATTCAAGACTGTCTTTCCCACCTTCTTCAGTGTCTCTTTCCTTGACATGATGTTAAAAGCAAATACTGTGATCACTCACTTGAATTTTGTTTCTTATGAAGTTGCTTTTTTTGGGTAGATAGTTGTTAAATTTCATCTTCCTATGGGGAAGATGATTGGTGGAGGCTTCTATTCAGCCATCTTGTTCTGCCTCCACCCTCAAACTAGTTTTTTAAAGAATTTGAATCAACTTGTATTAACTTTTCATCCTGCATCTATAATTTTTTATTAGTTCCAGGAGTTTTTTTTTTCTGTTCTTTAAGGTTTTCTAGACAGTCATTTATGTCATCTGCAAACAAAAACCAGTTTTATTGATTCCATCACAATCTGAACACCTTTTATTTCACTTTCTCATGTCAGCTAGCATCTCCAATGCTATGCTGAATAGAAATAATGAGAGGAGACATCCCTGTTATGTAGCCAATCTTAGGATGAGAGCATTTAGTTTCTCACTATTAAGTTTCTGTATGTTTTCTTTAGACTCTTTTTATCAAGTTGAAGCAGGTCTCCTCTGTTGCTAGTTTGCTTAGAGTTTTTAGCATGAATGAGTGTTCACTTTGTCAAATGCTTTTCCTGCATCTACTATGAAATGACTTTCCTTCTTTAGCCTGTTAATTTGGTCGATTACATTAATTGATTTTTGAATATTGGACCAGCCTTGCATACCTGGACTAAATCTCATTTGTTCATGGTATGTAATTCTTTTTACTCATTGTTGGATTTGAAAAGTCTGTAGCTTTCCTCTCTTGTGATGTCTTTGTCTGGTTTTGGTATTAGGGCAATGTTGGCTGGCCTCATAGAATGAATTGGGAAAAATTCTCTCTGCTTCTGTTAGAAGAGTTTCTAGAGAATTGACATTATTTGTTCCTTAACTGTTAGCATTCACTAACCTAAAAAGAAAGTCACTGGGCCTGGTGTTCTGTTTTGGAAGATTATTAATTATTGTTCCAATTTCTTTAATAGATATAGCTTCTTATGTGAATTTGACTTCTAGTTTAATTACACTGTGGTTTGAGACCATACTTTGTATTATTTCTATTCTTTTAAATTGTGTTAAGGTGCATTTTACGGCCCAGTACATGGTGCATCTTGGTGAATACTCATGTGGGCCTGAGAAAATCATGTATTCTGTTGTTAGATGAAGTCGTCTATAAGTATCCATTAAATCTGGTTGATTGATTAGTTCAGCCATGTCCTTACTGATTTTCTGCCTGCTGGATGTGTTCATTAATGATGGAGAGGTGATGAAGTTGCAAGAGATAGTAGTGGATTTTTCTACTTCTCTTTGCACTTCTATGTTGTTAAGACATATATGTGGCAAAACTAGTTTTAAGAAAACATGGAAGGCCAGGCGCAGTTGCTCACACCTGTAATCCTAACACTTTGGGTTACCAAGGTAGGAATATTGCTTGAGCACAGGAGTTCAAGGTCAGCCTGGGCAATGTAAGGAGACCCTGTCTCTTAAAAAAATTTGTCTATAGATGTAATTCACCACATAAAAAGAACCAAAGACAAAAATCGCATGATTATCTCAATAGATGCAGAGCTGTTTGACAAAATTCAATAGCCCTTTATGCTAAAAACTCTCAATAAACTAGGTATCATCAGACATATCTCAAAATAATAAAAGCTATTTATGACAAACCCACAGCCAATATCATACTGAATGGGCAAAAACTGGAAGCATTCCCTTTGAAATCTGGCACTAGACAAGGATGCCCTCTCTCACCACTCCTATTCAATATAGTATTGGAAGTTCTAGCCAGAGTAATCAGGCAAGAAAAAGAAATAAAGGGTATTCAGTTAGGAAAGGAGGAAGTCAAATTGTCCCTATTTGCAGACAACGTGATTGTATATTTAGAAGACTCCATTGTCTCAGCCCAAAATCTCCTGAAACTGATAAGCAACTTCAGCAAAGTCTCAGGATACAAAATCAATGTGCAGAAATCACAAGCATTCCTATACACCAATAACAGACTTAAAGAGAGCCAAATCAAGAAAAAAACTGCCATTCACAATTGCTACAAAAAGAATAAAATACCTAGGAATACAACTTACAAGGAACGTAAGGGACCTCTTCAAGGAGAACTACAAACCACTGCTCAAGGAAACAAGAGAGGACACAAACTGATGGAAAAACATTCCATGCTCATGGTTAAGAAGGATCAATATTGTGAAAATGGCCATACTGCCCAAAATAATTTACAGATTCAATGCTGTCCCCATCAAGCTACCTATGACCCTCTTCACAGAACTGGAAAAAAACACCTTAAACTTCATATGGAACCAAAAGAAAGCCTGCATAACCAAGTCAATTCTAAGCAAAAAGAACAAAGTTGGAGGCCATCATGCTACCTGACTTCAAATTATACTACAAGGCCACAGTAATCAAAACAGCACGGTACTGGTACCAAAACATAGACCAATGGAACAGAACAGAGGCCTTGGAGGCAGTGCCACACATCTACAACCATCTGATCTTTGACGAACCTGACAAAAACAAGCAATAGGGAAAGGATTCCCTGTTTAATAAATGATGTTGGGAAAACTGGCTAGCCTTGTGCAGAAAGCAGAAACTGGACCCCTTCCTGACACCTTACACTAAAACTAACTCCAGGTGGATTAAAAACTTAAACATAAGATAAAAACCCTAGAAGAAAACCTAGGCAGTACCATTCAGGACATAGGCATAGGCAAGGCGAAAACACCAAAAGCATTGGCAACAAAAACCAAAATAGACATATGGGATCTAATTAAACTCCAGAGCTTCCGTACAGCAAAAGAAACAATCATTAGAGTGAACCAGCAACCAACAGAATGGGAAAAAATCTTTGCGATCTACCCATCTGACAAAGGGCTAATATCCAGAATCTACAAAAAACTAAAACAGATTTACAAGAAAAAAAACAAACCCATTTAAAAGTGGGCAAAGGATATGAACAGACGCTTTTCAAAAGAAGACATATATGAGGCCAAGAAACATGAAAAAATACTCATCATCACTGGTCATTAGAGAGATGCAAATCAAAACCACACTGAGATACCATCTCACGCCAGTTAGAATGGCGATCATTAAAAAATCTGGAGACAACAAATGCTGGAGAGGACGTGGAGAAATAGGAACTCTTTTCCACTGTTGGTGGGAGTGTAAATTAGTTCAACCATCGTGGAAGACAGTGTGGTGATTCCTCAAGGACCTAGAAATAGAAATTCCATTTGACCCAGCAATCCCATTACTGGGTATATATCCAAAGGATTGTAAATCATTCTATTATAAAGACACTTGCACACGTGTGTTCATTGCAGCACTGTTTATAATAGCAAAGACCTGGAACCAACCCAAATGCCCATCGATGATAGACTGCACAAGGAAAATGTGGCACATATACACCATGGAATACTATGCAGCCATAAAAAATGATGTCCTTTGTAGGGACATGGATGACTCTGGAAACCAGTATTCTCAGCAAACTGACACAAGAACAGAAAATCAAACACTGCATGTTCTCTCTCATAGGCGAGTGTTGAACAGTGAGAACACATGGACACAAGGAGGGGAGCATCACACACTGGGGTCTGTTGGCAGGGACTTGGGGAGGGACAGTGGGGGGTGGGGAGTTGAGGAGAGATAACATTGGGAGAAATGCCAGGTATAGGTGATGGGGATGGAGGCAGCAATCCACATTGCCATGTATGTACCTATGCAACAATCCTGCATGTTCTTCACATGTACCCCATCCAGAACCTAAAGTGCAATCAAATATATATAAAAATAAAAAGGATTGTTTTCCTTTGGGACCAGAGTGAAGAATAACAAAAACAATGTGGCAGTCATTGAATTTTAATGTTAGTTGTCTTATCCAGATTTCTATTGATAAAAGTTAAAAATGTTTTAAGGATGATAAATATCAGCACTGTATAAAATGGATCAGAAGATGGAGAGATCATTTTATTTTATTTTCTTTCTCTACTTAGGACCTGGACTATTGTGGTACCAATGACAAAAGATGATGCACTAAAGGATATTAGAGGAAACCAAGTGACTTTTCAAGATTGCTTTGTTGCAGATTTTCTTATTCTGTTGACTTTTCCTATATTAACTATACCTGAAATTCCTGGTTACTTACCAATCTCTTCACCCCGTGGTAGTCAACTAATTGCTTTCCGTGATTCTTGTGTTTTCGCATGCATTGTTTTGGTAACTGATAGGGAGACCTTTCAAACAAATGATTCATTCCGTACTTGGACGAGAATCAGAGTGCCTCCAGACATTCTGAGTGATGATGAAAGACAGAATGTAACCGGTGTGACTTTATCACGAGATGGAATAATTTTTCATATAAATGGTGCTCTTTACCTAAAAAGTTTTCATGGATTTATAAAAATGGGAAGAACTGTAAATCTTCCCGATGATGGAATTGCCGGCATTTCATCAAGAAAATGGTGTTGGGTCAAATATTTATTCAAGGTTAGTAAGTGATACTTTATATTTTATAAATATATTTACCATACCATTTATTCAGTGATAAAGAGAAACTTGCTATGCAGCTTTTTGCCTAGTTGTTTTATCTAAGCCTGTAAAGAGCTCGAACTCAGCTTCTCAGAGACCTCTTTACAGTAGAGATACACCCCAAAACTAAAAATAAAATAAAACTTGTATGTTATTATGCAGTTCACTCATAATATGGGAGCTTTGTTTTACCTCGATATGGGCAAAAGACCCAAAATTTTTTCCCCAAACAAAGGTCATATGGACTCTCCAGAATGAATAATGTGTTTTTGTTACATGTATAGAAAGTGTAATGATCAGGTCAGGGTATTTGGGGTATCCATCTCCTTCAGTATTTACCATGTCTATGTGTGGGCATCATTTCCTCTTTTCTAGTTACCTTTAAATGTTAAAAATATTGTTGCTAAGTGTAGGTACCGTGGTCTCACTATAGACAAATTAGAAACACTAGAACTTACTTCTATAGAATTGTATGTTAGTTAGATACATAACATTGGAACTTATTCTTCTATTTAACTGTGTATCCGTACCCACTAGGCAACCTCTCTTCATACTCCCTCCCATGCACCCACCCTCCCCAGACTCTAGTATCTATCATTCTATTCTGTTTCCTTGAGATAATGGATTTTACCTTCCACATATGAGTGAGAACATGTAGTATTTGTCTTTCTGTGCCTGGCTTATTTCACTTATTGACCTCCAGTTCCATCTATATTTCTGCAAATGACATAATTTTGTAATTTTTATGGCCAAATAGTATTCCATTGGGTATATATACCCCATTTTCTTTATCCATTCATCCACTGATAAACATTTATGTTGATTCCGTGTCTTTGCTATTGTGAATAGTGTTGTAATAAACATGTAAATACAGGTGTCTCCTTGATAATACTGATTTCTTTTCCTTTTGATAAATACCCAGTAGTGGGAATGCTGGATTGTATGGCAGTTCTATGTTTCGTTTTTTTTGAGAAACCTCCATACTGTTTTTCATAGTGGTTATACTAAATTGCATTCCCACCAACAGGGCATATGAGCTTCCTTTTCTCTGCCTCCGTGTCAGCATCTGTTGTTTTTGTCATTCTAATAATTGCCAGCCTGGGCAGGATGGCTCACACCTGTAGTTCCAGCACTGTGGGAGGCCAAGGTGGGATGATTGCTTGAGCGTAGGCATTAGAGACCAGCCTGGGCAACATGGTAAGACCCCCATCTCTAAAAAAATAAAATAAAATCATGTATTTTTTAGTATTTCTATGTTGTCCCCTATACTGGTGTGTAAAACAGAATACAGCATTGTAGGATGGCAGGTGGCTTCTGTTGTTTTTGTTTTATTTTTAATGAAAGTTATAAATATGTCATTGTATTATCTTACGGCCACCGTCATTTCTGGTCAGAAGTCAGCTATTATTTGCATCATTGTTCTCGTGTATATAATGAATCTTTTTCACTCTAGTTGCTTTTAAGATCAGCTTTTTACATTTGGTTTTCTGCAGTTTTACTATGTGCCTAGATGTGATTGCCTTTGTATTTATCCTACTTGAGGTTTAGTTGAGTTTCTTGGATTTCTGGGTTTATGTCTTTCATTAATCTTGGAATGTCCATGGCTATTATCTCTTCAAATGTTTCTTCCACCTCATTCTCATTCTCTTTTTCCTCTCCTACTAGGATTCCAAAAACACCTGTATGAGACCATTTAATATCGTCTCACAGATCTCAAGTGACCTGTTCATTATTTTTTCCTTGTTTTGTATTTCAGCTTGTATGCATGCTATTAACCTGTCTTCAAGTTCACTGCTCTTTTCCTCTGCTTTTTCCAGCTTGTTGCTAAATCCATCTGGTCTCGATCTCTTGACCTCGTGATCCACCCGCCTCGGCCTCTCAAAGTGCTGGGATTACAGGCTTGAGCCACCGCGCCCGGCCCCATCTGATTTTTTTTTAAGACAGCGTCTCACTTTGTCAACTAGCCTGGAGTGCAATGGCAAAATTACAGCTCACTGCTGCCTCGAACTGTTGGCCTCAAGCAGTCCTCCCACTGTGGCTTCCCAAAGTGCTGTGATTACAGGCATTCCTGGCCTATTTATTTATTTATTTATTTATTTAGAAGGCATTTTGCTCCTGTTGCCCAGGTTGGAGTCCAGTGGTGCAATCTTGGCTCACAGCAACCTCCACCTCCCAGGTTCAAGTGATTCTCCTGCCTCAGCCTTGCAAGTAACTGAGATTACAGTCGTGCACCACCATGCCCAACTAATGGCTAATTTTTTTATCTTTAGTAGGGATGGGGTTTTGCTATGTTGGCCAAACTGGTCTGGAACTCCTCTAATTATTTCTTTATTCTTGATTTTTTTTTTTTAATTTCTAGCCTTTCCATTTTGTTCCTTTTTATCATTTCTGTGTCATGGCTGAAATTCCTCATCTCTTCACTATCTTTTCCACTAGACTCTTCAGCATTTTTATGATAGTTGTTTTCTCTTTAGACATTCTTGGTACCTTAGCACTGACAACATTCCAGAGATCTCTTTATACTTTACAGTGAAGCCACTGACCTTCGACGTTCTTGGGAGAGCTATCTCTGCTTTACAACCTAGCTGCCAGCTTTCGGGTCATTGATCATATGATCGTTTTTGATCAATTATCTTTCCTTTCTCATCTGACTCTGAATTTCGGTGCACTGGGGAATATCTTCATCTTCCTCTCTTCCTCCCCTTCTTCTGCCCACTCCACACTTCCCTCTCCTTTTCCCTCTTCTTCTCCTCTGCCTCCTATCTCCCTGTCCCAATCCTGTCAGGGAGGCTGCTTTAGACTCTGAGTAGAGGCCACACATGGCTCAAAAAAGTTCCTCTCCACTCTCCTATCCCACTCCAAGTCATGGAGCTGAGAATTCATAGTGTGGATGGGTTTCTCTCATCCCCTTGATGCATGCCCCTTTCCTGCCTTCAGAGAGTTACTGTCTTACATTTTTAAGAGACCTTGAATGCTTCAGAAGGATCTTTCACCTCACCTGCAGGATTATGCTGAAGCATTAAGTGGAGTTATGTGGGAAAGAGTTTGTGGGTGAGAGTGAAAACTCACTCCTTGTCTGGGAATCCTTGGAATTCTCATCTGTCATGTTTATGACATGTTCCTCTTCCCATCTCTCTGACAAGAATGAGAATGGCTCTTTCTTCTATGAAGGCTCATCATTTTGTTTCTATTTCTTCTTTAAGGATTGTTTCACTCATTTCCAGCAACGTAAGCTCTATACTTAAAATTGAATCCACATTTAGCAAAATGACCTCTTACCCCACATTGTGCCTTTCTTTGATTACCAGTTTGATACCTGCCTTCCTCCTGTTTCAGAACACACTAAATATTTGTACATTAAGTAAAATGAGGACAAGATGTGTTCAAAATACAGAAATTATATTTTAAGTAAAAATCCCTAAGAATTAGAGCGGTGGGGAAAGGAGACAGAGGAGAAGGGAGGCCTTGGACTCCTTGATAAAATACGGCCCACCGAGTTTCAGGCACAGCAGTTTCTGAATACCCTTCCCATCTAACAGCCTATGTCCATAAAAGGGTAGAATTTGTTTGTCTGAGGTTTTAAGTTTTCTTTTCTCTTTATCTGGTAACCAAGGAATCTAGAATTGCAGAAATGAGTTACCGTTTGAAGAGATCTTGTATGTTGACCTTAGTAAACACCAAGGTCCAAGGGGCACTCCTTGCCAGACTGATAAATACATAAAGAAAGAGAAGGCCAATGTGCTTAAAAGATTTAAAAGGAATTAAAATGTTTTTATTCCTACTGATCGAAACAATTTATGAAAAAATAAAATTATTGGTATAATTTTTATGGTTATATTTAATATGATAAATTTCTATTAAATGTATTCCTATGCCTGAAATATTATTCAAAAATATATTGAAACAAATCAAACCTTATAATTTAATTTTTTTTTTTTTTTGAGGCAAAGTCTCACTCTTGTCCCCCAGCTGGAGTGCAATGGCACTATCTTGGCTCACTGCAACCTCGACCTCCCAAGTTAAAGTGGTTCTCCTGCCTCAGCCTCCCTAGTAGCTGGGATTATAGGTACCTGCCACCACCCCCAGCTAATTTTTAACTTTTGTAGAAATGGGGTCTCACTGAGTTGCCCAGGCTGGTCTCAAACCTCTGACTTCAAGTGATTCTCCTGCCTCAGCCTCCCAAAGTGCAAGGATTACAGGCATGAAACCACCACACCTGGTCTGGATCTTTTAAATATAGCAAATTGGAAGATGGAAATTGTTAGACTTTGGGAGTTAAGTTATGAGGACACAAAGGCATAAGAATGATACAGTGGACTTTGGAGACTTGCGGGGGTAGGGTGAGAGACGGTGAGGGATAAAAAACTACACATTGGGTACAGTATACTCTGCTCGGGTGATGGATGCACCAAAATCTTAGAAATCTCCACTAATGAACTTATTCATGTAACACCACCTGAACACCCAGAAACCTACTAAAGTACAATTTTTAAAAAATAAAATTTTAAAAAGAGAAATTGTTAGACACACCTCTAAAATCGAATATTTTCTTACCATTTTTCATTTTGTCACAGACTAAAGGAAGAAGAAGCAACTTGGCAGTCTGGACAGAAAATGAAATTTACCTCGGATATATTCTTCTTAAATTTGCCAGATTAGTAACTGCCACAGAACTGAAAAATATCCTAAATCTACCAGTAACTGCCACTCTGACTATCCACTCTGTTCAGTATACAGGACACCCTCTGGACATTGCTGTGTTTTTAAATTATTGCATTACGTGTACCGTCACCAAAAAGATTTTCTTAGTCATATATAATGAAGATACGAAACAGTGGATTTCCCAAGACTTTACATTAGATGCCCCTATTGACAGTGTTTTCCTTCCAAATTTTATATATTCAGCACTGCCAGGATTTATACTATGGAACAAGCATAGTATCTACTATTATTACAATAATTTCACCTTTACCGGGATTTTGCAGACACCTGCAGGACATGGAAATCTATCAATGCTATCAAATGGCAGCATTATTCATGAAGTTTTAATAGGTAAGGCGTTCTCAGTCTACTAACATTATTCTAGATTTCATTATAGACCCCTTCCTTATAATGATGTGACACTTCTTAATTACCAACATGCAGCGCTCTTGACAGCCAAAGGTGCGCTTCTTATCACCTGCAAATGAATCGACTTTAAATTCAAGTACTGTTAACTATGATCTCACAGAGCAAAAGGGCAAACTCAGTTTCTTTCCGCAAGGGAAAGGGGAGCTTCGTTTTGGTCAATCAGCAGATTCTAACTAAGCAATTTATGTATACATTGTAGTGTGTAGGAGGTGCTGTGGTATTGTGTTCATTTCCTGGGGCTCCCATAAAAAAAGGACCACAAACTGGATGACTTAAAACAACAGAAATGTGTCATTTCACAGTTCTGGAGGCTAGAAGTGGGAAATCAAGGTGTTGATAGGGCCATGTTCCCACTGAAACCTGGAGAGGGAGGTTTTGTGTTATAAAGCACAAATGAAGCAAGTTCATATGTGTTTTTTAAACAACCATGAGCCACAGTGATAAGAAGACAAGATTAGAATGATACATTGGGGATAGATTTTAGAGGATGTCAGATTCCCAGTTTCAATGTAGTACTGAAGGTCATTCAGAAACAATGAAATGTAACATGCTCAAACAATTCATAAGTGTATGAAGTCTGAAGTTAAAGGCCATCTCTCACCATTCTCATTTCCGGAATAACCGACTATTAAGAAACTCCTGTGAGGCTGGGCGTGGTGGCTCACGCTTGTAATTCCAGCGGTTTAGTAGGCCAAGGTGGAAAGATCACTTGAGCTCAGGAGTTTGAGTCCAAACTGGGCAACATGGTGAAACCTCATCCCTACTAAAAACTTAAAAACTAGCTGGGCATGGTGGTACACACCTGTGGTCCCAACTACTCAGAAGGCTGAAGTAGCAGGATCCCTTGAGCCCGGAAGGTCAGCAATGCAGTGAGCCTTGTTCACATCACTGAACTCCCCAGCCTGGATAACGGAGTGAGATCCTGTCTCAAAAAGAAGAGAAAAGTTCCTGTGAGTTGGTCCAGACTTTCAAACAAGGAAATACTAAATATAATGGGCATATTTTCAAAACAATACCTATAAAACTAATACCATTTTAACTGCTGTGTAATGCACACTATTGTCTAATGGGGTGTAGATAGATATTTAGACAGATATTAGGCTTCAGTTCTTTTGCTGTTACAAATAATGCTGAAGAAAATATGCATATGTACATACACCAATACAAGTATTTCTGTAATATAAATTACTGGACATAGAATTCCTGAATCAGAAATTACAAATATTTTAAAAGTTGATAAATCCTTCTCATTTACCCTCCAGCAAAATTTGTCACAGTCTAAACTCCCCCAAAAGTATTTGAAAATGTATCATTTTTATATACTCTGTTTAACAGTTACCAATTATATAGAAGAAAAATGTGATTCTCATTTTATTGCACATATTTTTTATAATTAGATGTTTAATCTAGTTTCATAAATTCATTGGCCATATCCTTCTATGAATTTTTTTCTTGTCATTTCCTTATTTCTTTTTTTTTTATATATATACTTTAAGTTTTGGGATACATATACAGAATGTGCTGGTTTGTTACATAGGTATACACGTGCCATGGTGGTTTGCTACACCCATCAACCCATCATCTACATTAGGTATTTCTCTAAATGCTATCCCTCCCCTAGCCCCCGACACCCTGACAGGCCCTGGTGTCTGATGTTCCTCTCCTTGTGCCCATGGGTTCTCATCGTTCAATTCCCACTTATGAGTGAGAACATGCACTGTTTGGTTTTCTGTTCCTGTGTCAGTTTGCTGAGAATTAAGGTTTCCAGCTTCATCTATGTCCCTGCGAAGGACATGAACTCATCCTTTTTTGTGGCTGCATAGTATTCCATGGTGTATACATGCCACATTTTCTTTATCCAGTCTATCATTGATGGGCATTTGAGCTGGTTCCAAGTCTTTGCTATTGTGAATAGTGCTGCAATAAACATACATGTGCATGTGTCTTCATAGTAGAATGATTTATAATCCTTCGGGTATATCCCCAGTAGTGGGACTGCTGAGTCAAATGGCATTTCTGGTTCCAGATCCTTGAGGAATTGCCACACTGTCTTCCACAATGGTTGAACTAATTTACACTGCCACCAACAGTGGAAAAGTGTTCCTCTTTCTCCACATCCTCTCCAGCATCTGTTGTCTCCTGACTTTTTAATGATCGCCATTCTAACTGGAGTGAGATGATATCTCATTATGGTTTCGATTTGCATTTCTCTAATGACCAGTGATGATGAGCTTTTTTTTATATGTTTGCTGGTGGCATAAATATCTTCTTTTGAGAAGTGTCTGTTCATATTCTTTGCCCACTTTTTGATTGGGTTATTTTTTTCTTGTAAATCTGTTTTAGTTCTTTGTAGATTCTGGATATTAGCCCTTTGTCAGATGAATACATCATGAAAATTTTCTCCAATTCTGTAAGTTCCCTGTTTATTCTGATGATATTTCTTTTGCTATGCAGAAGGTCTTTAGTTTAATTAGATCCCATTTGTCAACTTTGGCTTTTGTTGCCATTACCTTGGGTGTTTTAGTCATGAAGTCTTTGCCCATGCCTATGTCCTGAATGATATTGCTTAGGTTTTCTTCTAGGGTTTTTGTGGTTTTTAGGTCTTCCATTTAAGTCTTTAATCCATCTTGAGTTAACTTTTGTATGAGATGTAAGGAAGGGGTCCAGTTTCTGTTTTCTGAATAGGGCTAGTCACTTTTCCCAGTATCATTTAATAAATAAGGAAAGCTTTCCCCATTGCTTGTTTTTGTCAGGTTTCTTGAAGATCAGATGGTAGTAGATATGTGGCATTATTTCTGAGGCCTCTGCTCTGTTGCATCGGTCTATATAACTGTTTTGGTACCAGTACCATGCTGTTTTGTTTACTGTAGCCTTGTAGTATAATTTGAAATCAGGTAGCATTATACCTCCAGCTTTGTTCTTTTTGCTTAGGATTGTCTTGGCTATACAGGCTCTTTTTTGGTTCCATATGAAATTTAAATTAGTTTTTTCTAATTCTGTGAAGAAAGTCACTGGTAGCTTGATGGGGATAGCATTGAATTTATAAATTACTTTGGGCAGTATGGCCATTTTCACAATATTAATTCTTCCTATCCATGAGCATGCAATGTTTTTCAATTTGCGTCCTCTCTTATTTTATTGAGCAGTGGTTTGTAGATATTGAAGAGGTCCTTCACATCCCTTGTAAGTTGTATTGCTAGGTACTTTATTCTCTTTGTCACAATTGTGAATGGGAGTTCACTAATGATTTGGCCATTATTGGAGTATAGGAATGCTTGTGATTTTTGCACATTGATTTTGTATCCTGAAACTTTGCTGAAGTTGCTTATCAGCTTAAGGAGATTTGGGGTTGAGACAATGGGATTTTCTAAATATGCAATCACATCATCTGAAAACAGATAATTTGATGTCCTATTTGAATCCCCTTTATTTCTTTCTCTTGCCTGATTGCCCTGGCCAGAACTTCCAGTACTATGTTGAATAGGAGTCGTCAGAGAGGGTATCCTTGTTTTGTGCCAGTTTTCAAAGGGAATGCTTCCAGCTTTTGCCCATTCAGTATAATATTGACTGAGGTTTATCATAAATAGCTCTTATTATTTTGAGATCAGCACCTAGTTTATTGAGAGTTTTTAGCATGAAGGGGTGTTGAATTTTATCGAAGGCCTTTTCTGCACCTATTGAGATAATTGTGTGGTTTTTGTCATTGGTTCTGCTTATGTGATGGATTACATTTATTGTTTTGCGTATGTTAAACCAGGCTTGCATTCCCTTTGTGAAGGGAACCCTGCCTTTCTCTCTGGCTGCCCTTAATGTTTTTTCCTTCATTTCAACCTTGGTGAATCTGATGATTATGTGTCTTGGGGTTGCTCTTCCTGAGGAGTATCTTTGCGGTGTTCTCTGTATTTCCTGAATTGGAATGTTAGCCTGTCTTGTTGGGTTGGGGAAGTTCTCCTGCATAAATACCCTGAAGAGTGTTTTCCAGCTTAGTACCATTCTCTCTATCACTTTCAGGTACACCAATTAAATGTAGACTTGGTCTTTGCGCATAGTCCTATATATCGTGGAGGCTTTGTTTGCCCCTTTTCATTCTTTTCTTCTCTCATCTTCTGTTCATGCGTTATTTTATTAAGCGATCTCCAGTCTCTGATATCCTTTCTTTCACTTCATTGATTTGGCTATGACACTTGTATGCTTCACAAAGTTCTCATGCTGTGTTTTTCAGCTCCTTCAAGTCACTTATGTTCTCTAAACTGATTATTCTAGTTAGTAATTCCTCTAACTTTCTCTCAAGGTTCTTAGCTTCCTTGCATTGGGTTAGAACATGCTCCTTTAGCTTGGAGGAGTTTATTACCCACCTTCTGAAGCCTACTTATGTCAATTTGTCAAACTCATTCTTTGTCCAGTTTTGCTCCCTTGCTGGAAAGGGGTTGCGATCCTTTGGAGGAGAAGAGGCATTCTGGTTTTTTAAATTTTCAGCCTTTTTGTGCTGGTTTTTCCTCATCTTCATAGCTTTATCTACCTTTAGTCTTTGATATTTGTGACCTTCAGGTGGGGTTTCTGTGTAGACGCCCTTGTAGTTGATGTTGATGCTATTTCTTTCTGTTTGTTAGTTTTCCTTCTAACAGTCAGTCCCCTGTGCTGCAGGTCTGCTGGAGTTTGCTGGGAGTCCACACCAGACCCCGTTTGCCTGAGTATCACCAGCAGAGGCTGCAGAACAGCAAAGATTGCTTCCTGTTCCTTCCTCTGGAAGCTTTGTCGCGGAAGGGCACCTGCCAGATACCAGCTGGAGCTCTCCTATATGAGATGTCTGTAGACCCCTGTTGGGAGGTGTCTCCCAGTCAGCAGTCCTGGGGGTCAGGGACCCAATTCAGGAGGCAGTCTGTCCCTTAGCAGGGCTTGAGTGCTGTGCTTGGAGATCTGCTGCTCTCTTCAGAGCCAGTAGGCAGGAACATTTAAGTCTGCTGAAGCTTCACCCACAGCCACCTCTTTCCCCAGGTGCTCTGCCCCAGGGAGATCAGAATTTGATCTATAAGCCCCTGGGGCTGCTGCCTTTCTTTCAGAGATTCCCTTCCCAGAGAGGAGGAATCTAGAGAGGCAGTCTGGCTCCAGCGGCTTTGCCAAGCTGCAGTGGGTTCTGCTCAGTTTGAACTTCCAGGCACCTTTGTTTCCACTGTGAGGGGAAAATCCCCTACGCAAGCCTCAATAATGGTGGATGCCCCTCCACCCACCCACCTTGAGCATTCCAGGTCAACTTCAGACTACCGTGCTGGCAGCAAGAATTTCAAGCCAGTGGATCTTGGCTTGCTGGGCTCCGTGAGGGTGGGATCCTCTGAGCTAGACTACTTGGCTCCCTGGCTTCAGCCCTCTTTCCAGGGGAGTGAATGGTTCTGTCTCTCTGGCATTCCAGGCACCACTGGGGTAGGCAAAAAAAAAAAAAAACTCCTGCAGCTGTCTGCCCAATCAGCTGCCCAATTTTGTGCTTGAAACCCAGGGCCCTGGTGGTATAGGCACCTGAGGGAGTCTCCTGGTCTATGGGTTGCAAAGACCACAGGAAAAACATAGTATCTAGGCCAGAATGCACCATTCCTTATGGCACAGTCCCTCACGGCTTCCCTTGGCTAGGGGAAGGAGTTCCCCAACCCCTTGCACTTCCCAGGTGAGGCAATGCCCCACCCTGCTTCAGCTCATCCTCCCTGGGCTGCACCCACTGTCCAACCAGTCCCAGTGAAATAAGCTAGGTACCTCAGTTGGAAATGCAGAATTCACCTACCCTCTGCGTTGATCTCGCTGACAGCTGCAGACTAGGGCTGTTCGTATTCTGCCATCTTGCCCACAACTCCTCCTTTTCTGTTAATTTCTATTCATACTGTTTGGACATTTTTGCATTGGGTTTATCTATATCGATATGTTCTTTATCTCATGTATTGCAAATATTTTTTCTAGTGCATAACTTCCTGTACCTTGTTGGATGGAGTCTGATATTTAGAGTTTGTATTTTTATATGGTCAAATTTGCCATATTTTAACTTGTAACTTCTGATGTAATGCTGTAATATGAAAGGTCTTTTCAATTCTAAAAACATTATATATTTTCATTTGTATAATTCTGATTTTTATGTTTTGATATTCCACAAGTGTTAGGAATCTAATTTTATTTTTTCCAGTGAAAGCTGATGTTGCCGTCAAACCATTCTTTTATGAAGCAAACCTCTCCCACTGATCTGAACCGCTCCCTTTATTATGTACTCATTCCTCACATTAGCCAGACTGTTACCTAGGCGATTCTGTTCCACTAATCTATTTGTTCTAGCTCTATATTTTTTTATCACTATATCCTTAATTACCTACCTACTAAATAATTTATTTTCATGTTTCTTGGCAGCCTTCTCTGCTGGAATTGTAAGCTACACAATAGAAGAAAATGTCTGTTTTTTCACGAATGTATTCCCCCCAAGAACCTAGAACAGTAGAGCCCCATAGTGGGCATTCGGTAAACTTGTTGAATAGATGTTTGCAAAACTTGTCTTCCCAACTAGGAATGTTGTATCTCTTCATTATTTTTCTTTTCTCTAATTGATCTATTCTTGAGTCAATTTTAGAAGTTTGTATCTTTCTAGGAAATCATTCATTTTTATCTAGATTTTCTAATTTATTGGTAAAAGTATCCTATTTTAACTTTTAAATTTCTTATGTACCTGTAATTATATTCTCTTCCTTACTTATAGGATTGTTTGTGCCCCACCCCCTTGTTAGTTAGGCTTGCTAGACATTTTCTGTTTTCTTAGGTTTTGTTTTGGTTTTCTTTTCCTTTTAAAAAGAATTCTTAATTTATCTACTTTCTTTTTTATTTAATTTCTTGATTTCTACTTTTGTCATTATTGATTCTTAACTTCTGCTTTCTTTTTGTAATTAGTTATGCTTACCAAATTAAATAGTTCATTTATTTTTAGTCTTTCTTGTTTTCTAAGCATTTAGAACTACGCACAAGCAAAAGGCTATGAATGAAGAAAACTTCACGTGGCTTTAGCTGCATCCCATGAGATTTTCCATATAATGTTCTTATTGTCATTATCTTTTAAATCATTCATAATTCTCATTTTAACTTCATATTTAATGCAAGGATCATGTATACTGTTTGTCGTCAGCAGTGTGATCAGAAAACAGAAGGCGCTATGAAATCAAATATTGTGAACATCAGTCCAGGTGTATGGGATCAGAAAACTACACGTGGAGGAAACGACTTCTGAACTGAAAACTAGGGAGAGAGTATAGATGTTAGAAAAAGGATTTCACTGCTTAGGATGGGGGATTAAGGTAGCATTTCAAGCTGAGAATACAGCACGTGCAAAGATGTGGAGGTAGGAAAGAACATGGCAAGTTTGGGGGACTGAAATGAGGTCAGCCTGACTAGATAACACAGTGTAAGGCCAAGAATGGCAAGAGACAGACCTGGCTAAAGGGCAGAGAGACCGTATCATGAAGCAATTGGGACATTATATATAATCCGAAAACAACGTATTGTTTCATGAGCTTTTAAATGTTATATATCATTATACTGTATGCATCCTGCAATTACTTTTTCATTCAGCATAAAAATACATGTTATTATATCATCCATTCACATTTCTCCCCTTCCATCTCATGATCTACTGCACTTATTTCTGATTAGGTAAGTTTAAGTAGAATGTAATTTATGGTAATTTGTAAAAATGTTACTGATTTATTCTGATTCCAAATGTAAGATGCATAAACACAAAACAACCTGAACCTCCCTGACGCTATGAATTTCCCTTCTTCCTTCTAGCCAGTCCTCTCCCAGTGCGGTCTTTTGACAATTAAAGAAAGGTTATTCCTAGAGGCTGTACACAGAAAATGTCAATTCTTGAAAGAAAGCTATGAAATCAGCTAGTCCAACTGGTCATTTTACAGACAGAGCAACAGAACTAAAGAGATTAACGTAGTTACCTTCTATGACCTACTGTGACTTAGGCAGAATATTACATGGAGAAAGTTGATGACTTTGAATGAACCTGCAGAAGTAGGCTATATTTTATACCACTCTCACCCCCGCTGACCTCCATGTCTTCATCCCAGCAATATTAGCCTGCTAGGGATGTCATAACAAAATCCCACTGGGCAGCTCAAACAACAGAAATTTAGATTTTTATCTTATTTCTAAAGGCTAGGAGTCCAAGATCAAGGTACTGTCAAGATTGGTTTCTGATGAGGCCTCTATTCCTGGCTTGGAGATGGTTACCTTCTTGCTGTGTCCTCCAGTGGCCTTTCTTCTCTGTGTGCCCAGAGGGACCCCTGGCATCTCTTCCTCTTCTTACAACAGCACCAGTTCTACTGGACTGGGACCCCCTGCCTCTTAGCCCATTTTACCTTAATTACCTCCTGAAAGGCCCTATCTCCAAACACAGTCTCATTGGAGGTTAGGGCTTCAACACAAGAATTTGAGGGGGACATAATTCAATCCACAACACAATGCAGAATTCCTAATAACACCATTCCTGCCATGCTCATCCTCATTATTACTTAATACAGGAATTCCAGCTCCTTTTTATGCTAAATGATGTGATATAAAAAGTGATATGGTATTCAAGAAGAAAACTGAAGACTCTACAATGAAGTGGGAGGGAAGCTCCCCAATATAGTGTAAAGTTAGGGGTTCACACCTGCACATTCTAACTTTCTCAAAGGATGTAAATATTCATTGTAAAACAAATTACTTTGGTTAAAAGTACACTTAACTAAAACAGCATGATTTATGGTTACTTAGACTAACATAAACTTTTCTCCTTTTTCTAGATTACTATGGAAATATTTTGGTAAAAATGGAAAATAATATAATATTTTATTCCAAGATTTATATTGGAGATACAGTAAAGCTACATTTATGGACAAGCAACGCAACAAAAGCATTCATTTTCTTGAATACATCTGGTCATACATATCTCCTGTATGCTCTTGACAATGGCACGATACAAATACAGGACTATCCCTTAGGTCTGGAATCAAAAAGTGTAGCTTTCAAGACCAAAGAGAAATGCCCATACATGGCATTTCATAATAATATTGCTCGTGTTTTTTACTTTTTGGACAAGGGAGAGACTCTGACAATTTGGACTCAACTAGTCTATCCAGAAAATAATGGCCTGTATGTTATTATGGAATCCTATGGCCCAAAAATATTAGAAGTGAGACGTAACATTTCCTTTGAAGCTGCGTTTGGATACTGCACCAAAACTGTGGTAAGTTAATATTTTTAATTTCTTTATTTGGTTTTAATAAGTATAAAAGTATAATATTAACATTTTTATCAATGGATTTCCCTTCTAGGCTCAGCTGGGAAAATGTCCAGGAATGGCTGAGTTTTTAATAACATGATAAGCCATTAATTCGCAAGCCATTATTTTTGCTTTCAATATCCAAGCCCTCTTTGCCACCTAAAAACTACTAACACATTCCCTCAAAACTCATTGATTGTCGATTGTATTCTTCACTTTTTTTTAATGTATGGACTTTTTTTTCCTGTGGACTTCTGTTATCTATTGTAGTGTAACAAATCACCTGAAAACCGAATTGCTTTAAACAAGAACCAATTCTATGAGTCAATTCCGTTTGGGCTCTGAGTAGCTGTGCAGTTCTGCTGGTTTTACCTGGGCTCATTGATGTGGTATAGGCATCCAGTAATTCATCTGCAACTAGATGACCTAAGATTGCCTCATCAATCTAAGGGGCCTCAGCTGGAACACTTGACTGTGCCAGATAAGCCAGGTTTAATGTTATCCTCCAGGCTAGACCTGGCTTCTTCCATGGCAGTCTCAGGGCAGCGTTCCAAGACAGTGAGAGCAGAACCTAGGCTACGCCATATATCCTTGACTCATAGGATGGGGACATAAACTCTACCTCTTATGGAGAAATAGCAAGTTACACTGTAAAGAGACATACATATGGGAATGGGAAGAATTATTACAGCCATCTTTGAAAATAATGTCATAATAGGTATAAATATACTGTGTATATGATGTTGTAGAGTGTATTTCCAATTAATATCATAATGTGAGCATTTCACAAGTTACTTTAATTTCTTCTTGAAAACTGTGTAACCCAAGTGGCAGTGTCTGTTTCCCACCTTCCCTTTCTAGGCTCAGCTTCCTTAAGCACATATAATAGTGGGTCTGCTAGCTGATACAATTGAATAGAAGTGGTCAGTCAATTCCAAAGTGAGTGAAAGCAGAGAATCATACAAAATGAAACCAATCTATGTGAGACATTTTACTTTAACTTAAATATATGTGAAACATATCAGTTTCATTTAAATGAACATTCATTTATTAGACAATCTTTTGACATATAGGACCAAAGCCTTTTCTTTAAAACAGGTCCACTTATTATAGCTCCTCATCTCCTTTTTTGTATAACATTTCTCATAATGCATTGTCTTTGAGTTTCTGTATCAGTTTCTTTAAGATAAAGGAAAAAAAAATACTTAAAGGCACTGGCAAAGCAACTGAAGCTCTAGAATTTTGTAATGTTTTTCCATTTTTTTAGTATTACTTTGCTCTTATTTTCTAATTCAGCAATCTCCTCAGTTACGTGCTTTATCAAAATTTTTCAAAAAAATCAACTTAGTTCTCAAAGAAACAGTAACTCTACTTTCATTTGATACTTATTTTATCAATCTATAATATTATATAGAATTACTTAATTAAAATAATAATATAATCTGGCATAAACAGATTTGGAAACAACACGAATTTAGATTTATATGGAGTCTCATGGATAGACCTTAAAACACAGAGTTGAATGAAAATTATAAGAAACTATCTGAAATCTATCTTAGTCCATTTGGGCTACATAACAAAAATAGCTCAAACCAGATGACTTACAACAACAGATATTCACTTTCTCACAGTCCTGGAGGCTGGGAAGTCCAAGATGAAGGTGCCAGCAGGCTCAGTCTCTGGTAAGGGCCTATCCTCAGAGACAGTGTCTTTTCACCATGTCCTCACATGGCAGAAGGGGCAAGGCCACTCGCTTAGTGCTCTTATAAAAGAGGCCTCTTTGGGAATCCTTCCCAAATCATTTTATGACACCAACATCATCCTGATACCAAAACCCGGCAGAGACTCAACAAGAAAAGAAAACTTCAGGCCAATATCCACGATGAACATAGACGCAAAAGCTTCAATAAAATACTGGCCAGCCGATTGCAACAGCACATCAAAAAGCTTATCCACCATGATCAAATAGGATTCATCCCGGGGATGCAAGGCTGGTTCAACATACACAAGTCTATAAACGTAATTCACCACATAAACAGAACCAAAAACAAAAACCACATGATTATCTCAATCAATGCAGAGAAGGCCTTTAACAAAATTCAATAGCCCTTTTATGCTAAAAACCCTCAATAAACTAGGTATTGATGGAACGTATCTCAAAATAATAAAAGCTATTTATGACAAACCAACAGCCAATATCATACTGAATGGGCAAAAACTGGAAGCATTGCCCTTGAAATCTGGCACTAGACAAGGATGCCCTCTCTCACCACTCCTATTCAATGTAGTACTGGAAGTTCTAGCCAGAGCAGTCAGGCAAGGAAAAGAAATAAAGGGTATTCAAATAGGAAAGGTGGAAGCCAAATTGTCTCTGTTTGCAGACGACATGATTGTATATCTAGAAGACCTCATCGTCTCAGCCCAAAAACTCCTGAAACTGATAAGCAACTTCAGCAAAGTCTCAGGATACAAAATCAATGTGCAAAAATCACAAGCATTCCTATACACCAATAACAGACTTAAAGAGAGCCAAATCAAGAATGAACTGCCATTCACAATTGCTACAAAGAGAATAAAATACCTAGGAATACAACTAACAAGGAATGTAAGGGACCTCTTCAAGGAGAACTACAAACCACTGCTCAACGAAATAAGAGAGGACACAAACAGATGGAGAAACATTCCATGTTCATGTTTAGGAAGAATCAATATCGTGAAAATGGCCATACTGCCCAAAGTAACTTACAGATTCAATGCTATTCCCATGAAGCTACCAATGACCTTCTTCACAGAACTGGAAAACACCACCTTAAACTTCATATGGAACCAAAAGAGAGCCTGCATAGTGAAGTCAATTCTAAGCAAAAAATACAGCAGGAAGCATCACACTACCAGACTTCAAACTATATTACAAGGCTACAGTAATCAAAACAGCATGGTACTGGTACCAAAAAAGAGATATAGACCAATGGAACAGAACAGAGGCTTTGGAGGCAACACAACATATCTACAACCATCTGATCTTTGACAAACCTGACAAAAACAAGGAATGGGGAAAGAATTTCCTGTTTAATAAATGGTGTTGGGAAAACTGGCTAGCCATGTGCAGAAAGCAGAAACTGGACCCCTTCCTAACACCTTACACTAAAATTAATTCCAGTTGGATTAAAGACTTAAACATAAGACCTGGCACAATAAAAACCCTAGAAGGAAATCTAGGCAAAACTATCCAGGACATAGGAGTAGGCAAGGACTTCATGAACAACACACCAAAAGCATTGGCAACAAAAGCCAAAACAGACAAATGGGACCTAATCAAACTCCACAGCTGCTGCACAGCAAAAGAAACAGTCATTAGAGTGAATCGGCAACCAACAGAATGGGAAAAAATTTTTGCAGTTTACCCATCTGACAATGGGCTGATATCCAGAATTTACAAAGAACTAAAATAGATACACAAGAAAAAAACAAACAAGCCCATTTAAAAGTGGGCAAAGGAGGGCTGAGTGCGGTGGCTCACGCCTGTAATCCCAGCCTTTGGGAGGCCGAGGCAGGTGGATCACGAGGTCAACAGATCGAGACCATCCTGGTCAACATGGTGAAACCCCATCTCTACTGAAAATACAAAAAATTAGCTGAGCATGGTGGCACGTGCCTGTAATCCCAGCTACTCGGGAGGCTGAGGCAGGAGAATTGCCTGAACCTGGGAGGCAGAGGTTGCAGTGAGCCAAGATCGTGCCAGCCTGGGTAACAAGAGCGAAACTCCATCTCAAAAAAAAAAAAAGTGGGCAAAGGATATGAACAGACACTTTACAAAAGAAGACATACATGAGGCCAACAAACATATGAAAAAATGCTCATCATCACTGGTCATTAGAGAAATGCAAATCAAAACCACATTGAGATACCATCTCACGCCAGTTAGAATGGTGATCATTTAAAAATCTGGAGACAACAGATGCTGGAGAGGACGTGGAGAAAAAGGAACACTTTTACACTGTTGGTGGGAGTGTAAATTAGTTCAATCATTGTGGAAGACAGTGGGGTGATTCCTCAAGGCCTTAGAAATAGAAATTCCATTTGACCCAGCAATCCCATTACTGGGTATATATCCAAAGGACTATAAACCGTTCTACTATAAGGACACATGCACACGAATGTTCATTGCAGCACTGTTTACAATAGCAAAGACCTGGAACCAACCCAAATGCCCATCAATGACAGACTGGACAGGGAAAATATGGCACATATACGCCATGGAATATTACACAGCCATCAAAAACGATGAGTTTGTGTCCTTTGTAGGGACATGGATGAACCTGGAGACCATCATTCTCAGCAAATTGACACAAGAACAGAAAATGAAATACCACATGTTCTTACTCATAGGCGGGTATTGAACAATGAGAACACAAGGACACAGGGAGGGGAGTACTACACACTGAGGTTTGTTGGGGGGAATAGGGGAGGGACAGTGGGGGGTGGGGAGTTGGGGAGAGATAGCATGGGGAGAAATGCCAGATACAGGTGAAGGGGAGGAAGGCAGCAAATCACACTGCCACGTGTTTACCTATGCAACTATCTTGCATGTTCTTCACATGTACCCCAAAACCTAAAATGTAATTAAAAAAATAATAAAAGAGGCCTCTTTTATCCTATTCAGGAGGTTCTGCCCTCATGAGCTAATCCCCTCCCAAAGGGCTCCACCACCTAATACTATCCTATTGGTGGTTAGGGTTTAACTTCGAAAGTTTAGGGGAACACAAACACTCAGACCGTAGCACTATCAATGTCATATTTATGAAGATCACAAGCAATACACATAAATAAACAAACAAAAAGGCATTATAAATATTTCAAGGATACAAAGATACCAAAGGTATATTTTCAAGGATACAAACATAGCTGTTTGATATATGATATTGCTGGTCTGCTGTGGGGGAAGATAATACAGGGAAAAAGTAAAATATGATAAATAAGACCAATGATAGACTGGATAAAGAAAATGTGGCACATATACACTATGGAATACTATGTGGCCATGAAAAAGGATGAGTTCATGTCCTTTGCAGGAACATGAATAAAGCTGGAAACCATCATTCTCAGCAAAATGACACAAGAACAGAAAACCAAACACCACATGTTCTTACTCATAAGTGGGTGCTGAACAATGAGAACACAAGGACACAGGGAGGAGAATATCACAAACCAGGGCTTATTGGGGGCTGGGGGGCTAGGGGAGGGATAACAGGAGGTAGGGAGATAAGGGAGGGATAGCATTAGGAGAAATAGCTAATGTAGATGATGGGTTGTTGGATGTAGCAAACCACCATGGCACGTGTATAGCCATGTAACAAACCTGCATGTTCTGCACATGTACCCCAGAACTTAAAGTCTAATAATTTTAAAAAAAGAAGAACTGAACTAACCTAAGCAACTTTGGAAAACGTGGTAGCTGGACCCTGTGAGATTCAAGGGAACTGTTTCTAAGCATTGCTTCCTGATTCACAGATTTGTTTTTCACAGAAGCATGGGTTAACAATCATATTACTTTGTATATAGCCTAGATTTGATCAAATAATTAAATATATTGTAAATAATAAGAGCCAGAGTTGTCAATGTTAGAGAGAAGAGCTGCAAATATAAAAAATAAATGAGGCTAGGATGAAAAGAATCAAAGGAAGTCCACGTTGTTTTCTGTAGCTGTCATTCATTCATACTACTGATCTATTGTGTTCTTCTGTATGAATGTACTACAAGAGATCCTTAGCCATTTTACTGTTGATGACATTGGTTTGTTTCTATTTCGGGGCTATTCTGAATAGTGTAACAATGACTATTTCAGTATATGCCTCCTGAAAAGCACATAGAAATCTTTCTATCAGGTAGAATTACTTTTATGTGAGATTCTTGGTAAGGCTGTAAATTCAATTTATATCACAATTTTGCAACATTTTATTATGGAAATGTCAAACATATAGAAAAGTTGAAAGAATTTTACATTTAACACCTCTATAGCCACTATGTAGACTAATATTTTATTATACTTGCTTTATTACGTATCTATGCATCTATCTATCCACCATTCAATCTTGTTGATCACTTACAAGTGATCAGCATTATTATGTACCCTAATGAAGACATTTTGTGTGCCTAGATGTGGAAAGCTATATGCCACTAAAGTGGGATCACAACCCCCCACCCCCGCAATTCCCCTGCTTTATGTAAATTTTTAAATTTTTTTTTTCAGGTACTAACGTTTTATCAGAAGATAAATTATGAGAGAACAGATGATTACTTCGGAATGCAGTAAGTATGACTTTTAAAAGAACTTTCTCAGTATCAAATATCCTGTTCAGGTTATTGATTTGTAGGTATTCTTTCATTTAAATGGCCACATATCCTTTTAAATATTCAAATTTCAAATTCCTTTCAATGGCTGGATAGATGTAAAATTAATATTTAACTGTAAAAAATGTAAAATACTCTTCGTAGTTTAATAAAAAATATGACCTATCTGAAGTTCTCATTCATTCATCCAAATGAAGATGCCAAAAAAATGGGCTATTTCTTAACTGAATAATTTTCAAACATGTTTTATCACCAGTTCTCATCCAAAGGATCTACCTACCATCACTAGCAAAAACAGGAACTCTGCTATCACAGAAACTCTTTAACTATGCGTAGAGCCAGATAAAATGCCATCTTTGACCCCTGCATAAGGTTGCAGCTAGGCTACCTGCAGGAAGACAGCCAACATGGAATTCTGTGTTAAGGCATCCCTATGGCTATTATTGCAGCCTGGAAGTCTTTTCTTGGAAAAATTGCATATTTTTCCCTAGGAAAATCCATTTTTCTTTGGTCTGGTGCTACTCCAGCTGAGTTTGACAACCTACTCTATGCCAAGCACTTTCTAGGTATTTAAAAATACATGGTAAACAAGAAAGATGAAGTTCTAATGTCATCGAACTCATTCTCCAGTAGGAAAACAGCAAGTCATCAAATAAGTAATTCCAAATACTGGCAAGTGCTATGAAGAAAAGAAAGCAGAAATATATATATCAGTGATAGAGACTGAAGAGGAAAAGCAGGGAGAAAATGCTGCTTTAGACTCCGCAGCCAGGAGAGGGCAATTCATTCCTTTCCCTTTCATCCACCAGCTTACCTCTTTATGCTTCTAATGGTGTAGGTTCCTTTGGATATTTTTTGTCTTCTGGATATTTACTAAGATTTACATTGCTATAGAATACAAATAAAATTGCCCAGGAAATTTTTTATGTTTTCTTGTCCCCAGTTCTGTTTTTTGGTTTTTGTGGGTTTTTTTTTTTACAAAAACCAACCTTCACAGGTGTAGGTATAAATCAAACTTTCAGATGTTCTATTAGTTTTTAGCCCGCACATGTTGCTTGAACACAAAATGATTCATGTGCCCTTCATAGTGGAGAAAGGCATTATATCTGACCTAGCTTTCAATCCCAGTCAGATTACAGTACACAGCTGAATGTGGCTCAGAAAACTAATTTGACAACTCACTCTTCATTTCTCCAAAGGTGTTATCGATATGAGGGGAAAATGTGTAGGGGCCAGAGGAGGAACTCACACAGTAGTTGCTACCTTCAGGCAGGTCAAGATGTCAGCAGCACAGCCACATTTCCGGGGACTATGTTAATGAAATAGAGTGGCTGAAATGCTGGTCGGATGCTCATTTCTGTTTCCCATCTCATTAACCCAATGGGGGCCCAAACATGGGATACCATGAGACGGGAGCCACTTTACAATATGACCACCACACACAGCTGCCTTAGCAGAAGCAGAGAGCTGTTACCACCAGCACTATCCTCCAGGCCTCAAGAAATTTGTGTGGGAGTTCAATCACACAGTGCACATGGGACTTTGCATATAATCTACAGAAAGACAGTGTCCTGCCTATCTCTCAATAACCTGCATGGATTGTTTTTCCTAGAGACAACAATACGGGGCTTGTGATGATTCAAGTTCGACCTAGTGAATATTCTAAAGCATGTTCAGTACCCCAAAAGGTGAGTGACATGGGTTGAAGACTCAAATATTTTACTTCGAGAATGTATAGGTGGTAAACTCAAAATGCATATAATACCTCTGTACACCACCACTCTCCTATTACTTAGCAACTCTGTGTAATGTTCCACTGTAAAGACAGCATCATTTTGGCTAGGCGGGGTGGCTCATGCCTGTAATCCCAGCACTTTGGGAGGCCAAGGTGGGTGAATCACCAGAGGTTAGGAGTTCGAGACCAGCCTGACCAACATGGAGACACCCTGTCTCTACTAAAAATACAATATTAGCCAGGCGTGGTGGCACACGCCTATAATCCCAGCTACTCCAGAGGTGAGGCAGGAGAATTGCCTGAACCCAGGAGGCAGAGGTTGCAATGAGTCAGGATCACACCATTGCACTCCAGCCTGGGCAACAACAGCAAAACTCCGTCCAAAAAAAAAAAAAAAAAGCATCATTTCATCTTGAAGACAGAAGATTTCTGCCCTCTGTGAGTTTATCACCTAAAGTGGGATATATAAATAGATACAAAAATATAAAAGTATTAGTTTCTCAAGTTATAAAGATATATAAAATTGTGTACAGGAAAACTGAAAATCAGTGGGAATGACAAAAGTTGGATATGGTTTGTCAAAGAAGACTGCCAGTCACAGCCATTTATTTCTTCAAAAATCATTTATTCATATTTTTAAATGAAAAAGATCATTCATTTAAAAAAGTATATTGTATGCCTACTCTGCTTCTGTGTTTCAGCCTATGTGCTGGGTAATGGGAGTTACAAAGATAAAAAGAGTACCTTCCCTAGAGGTAAATACAAACTAGCTTAAGAGAACGAGGTATGCACAGTTCCCACATAGCCCAGAAGAAAGCAAACTAAGGAAGTTTCCTGTGACTGGGAGGGAAAAGGTGAAAAGAAAGGGATACACAAAATGCTAGTGATGGATAAGTAGAAGTCCAACAGATAGATGCAAAACATTTCCAGGAAAAGGCAGAGAAGAATGAAATAGCATCAGAGTATTCAGGTAACTGAACTTATTATTATACATTATATTACATTACATTATTGTGAAATTAAACACGAATTCTTAACAACTCCACCTCTTTTGAGTCTGTGTTTCACACTTGTCTCCTCTCTTTATTACTTCTCAGCCTAACGTTCAATAAACATATATTGAGCACCCATTATATACCAGTATCAGGCATTGTGTTATATATGGGGAATAAAAGTCAAATAGGACCTAGCCCCTCCCAGTCAGAACCCAGACATGAGGAACCTGTGTTCCTCCCAGGGCAACGTTCCATACATTTAGAGGGAGCCTTGAACTGAGGCAGACATGATCCATCCTTCGGCACTGCACACACACCGCTTCCCTGGGAAATTGCCTGCAGTTGCACACTACAGCTCCCCTGTCTGCCTACCACGTGCCAGCTTACCCCACATAGCAAGTAAGAAACCACAACCTAGCAAGTCCCTGCCCTAGCCTAGTCTGCATTTTCTATCTTTAACTGCTTTTACCCTCTTCCTTTATGATGCCCTCTCAAAACACCGTGGTTTCCTCCACCCTTCTCTAATCTATAGATTTGTTAGGGATCCCTGTCCATTCTATCCTGCCCAGCCAAGACATTACAAAAGCAGGCTCATCTAACCAGAGTTCAGATCCGTGCTCTACTACCTGCTGGCTTGGGTGGGCTACTGACTCTGAGCCTCAGCTGTCATATCTGTAAAAGGGGGAATGTACCATCTATTTTATGTGGTTGTTGAGAGTATTACATGAGATTTTCATAGAAAGTACTAAAAACAATGCCTATTACATAGCAATTATCTAATATACCGGCTTCTTCCTTGTGTTTCCTCTCTGGTGCCCCGCAAAGATGGACAGGTCAAATCTAGTCCCCCCCTGTGCCCGCTGCAGGTACTTTGTCCTGACCTACCCACTGAAACAGAATGAAGAAAGATGCAGTAGCCCTTTCAGGCAACAGGAAAATGTGGCCTTGTGGAGGCAGGTCCTCTAATCATCCAAGGCAATCAAAACCTGTATGCAACTACAAAGTATGCCTTCAACCACAAGCTCCCTTCCTTGTGCTCCCATACTCATGACTTAGCAAGCCATCAGCCTTCCAGATAAATATTACAGAGAAATAGGACCCAGCTCTGTGTACACACAAACCACGGCCTACAGACTTAGCCCACTGCAAGAAGTTAGGCCCTTGCTAAGCCTGCTGGACCAAATGGACCTGGACCGCGCTATTTGAATGGGAGCCTACAGTGACTAAAATGTCTTTGTCATTTAGTCTTCATAGCCTGCAGCAGAGCAGCAAATAGAACTGGCAGCTCCTGCATCTCACTCTTTAACCATGCATTGAGAACTGGAAACGCAGCCCCCAGAGGGCCTTGGTGAATCCCTCCAATAGGAATTTTTCCAGGGAGGGATAACTACGACTTTGTCCAATGCATTACCTGCCAGCATTTGTGTTGAGGGTCTCAGGTCAGTTAACCTGTCTGGTTAGAAGAAATATGCTGTGTCTGACTCTTGGTTAAGGCAGGAGCTGTCCTGCTCCAACTCTGCACTGAGAAGAAATGTGTTCATTTAGGCTTTATGTCAGAACCTCTCTAATTAGGTGTCCTGTTCTGGGGAATTCGTGTCAACCCTGCAGCAGTGGGTACTCTAGAAAACAGGATCATTCATGCTCCCCACATTGTACTTGTAACTCCTTTTCAATATCCACCTACAGGTTAACTCATGTTTTCAATCCTAGCCATGGATATTGATCCTGAGGCGTGGGCTGATTTTTGTCAACTAGGACAAGAAAGAGAAGAAATATTGCAAATGAGATCATCAAGTAATGGGGGGTCCTGACCATGATAGATTTGAGCGCTTCGGTCAACGCTTACGTTGTATGGATAATTTAGTAAACATAAAGGGCAAACCAATGATTCTGATCAGGAAAGCAAAGATTTAATGATGGTGGTGGTGAGGACTGTGGGTCGGGCTGTCGAGAGAACAAATCAGGCCCTGTGCATGAAACCAAGTGGCCCAGAAGATAAAATCCATGAACTCCCACTGTGGAGCATGCCTTTGACGTAAAGACTAGAAGGTCTTGGTTTAGCAGGGTCAACTCTTCATATCCACCAAACTTGGCTGGACATCATTCTTCTTCCCTACCCTCCTGGCCCCCAAGTCCTTCTCATAGGCTAGGGAGTATTAGAGTTTTTCAGATTTGCTTTGTGGAAATGTGCAACACCCAAGGACATGCTTCAGGCAGAATGTCTAGACCCTTACATTCTGGGTCAGGTAGAAATGGAAGTAGCTATCCCAGTGGAGGGAGAAGCAGGACTGTGGTGACAAAGAAGTAATGACTCTCTGACTGGAAAATTGACAGTTCTTATAAAGAAATCTAAAGCATTCATCCACTTTATTTTTGACTCTCACTATCTTTGTAAGTCTTCCTTTAATGTCTATATAGTAATTAACTGTATTTTAGTTCCATGTAGCCTGTGTGTTATTTTTAAGCAACATATACCTACTCATTGCAAGCAGGGTATGAGATTTTGCAACAGTTCATTTTCCTAATAACTGAGATTTAATGAAGCGAATAGCCTCATCTTTAGATATAATGCATTCCAGCTACCAGACATAGCCATCTTCTTAGAAAAGTTCTATGGAATTCTATTTTAATTTTTGTGTGGAATATTCATTCTACCCTGCTCTTACTGTAAAAGTATTGAATCTGTTAAAAAGAGAAGGTAAAAATTGCTACTAACAGTAGGGGTATATTTGGGGATAGAGGCAATATACTTACTGCATCAGATTCCAGTGGGATTTTATTTGGTTGAGAATTAGCCTTTTCCATATCCAATGCCCTTCTTGGGCATTTCCAGACCAGGAAACAAAGCATCATGACACAACCTGTGATGCCACTGTTTGATTTTGCACTTGCCTTTCTCCCCTGTTTCCCAACATTTACTTACAGAGGAGCATGGGCCGTGTTAACAAAGCTATAATATCCACAGGTCATCTGTTTTCAAACGAAGCACGTATGTGCATTTCTTTTAAAAAGCAATTACGATGGCCAGGCGCGGTGGCTCAAGCCTGTAATCCCAGCACTTTGGGAGGCCAAGGCGGGTGGATCACGAGGTCAAGAGATCGAGACCTTCCTGGTCAACATGGTGAAACCCCCGTCTCTACTAAAAATACAAAAAATTAGCTGCACATGGTGGCGCGTGTCTGTAATCCCAGCTACTCAGGAGGCTGAGGTAGGAGAATTGCCTGAACCCAGGAGGTGGAGGTTGCGGTGAGCCGAGATCGCGCCATTGCACTCCAGCCTGGGTAACGAGCGAAACTCTATCTCAAAAAAAAAATTAAATAAAAAGCAATTATGAGTAATGTTTAGAATAAATATCCACAAAATGAGGACAGTGTTTAATATTTAATAATTAGCCTGTGGCCAGCGCTCCTCTGAATACAGAGTGTTGCTGCTCAACGCAGGAATAACAAGAGTAAGATGCATTTCACGTGATGCTCAGTACCCTGAGAAATTACAGCTCTACTAACGTGAAAACAGAAAGTCAAATTAGTAGCTGGATGGATTATGGAAACCTGCCGGCTGAGTCAGAGGTACAAACTGGAAGAAGGGGGTTGACAGTCATGGTTGTAGAGAAGCAGGTAAAAGGTGAGTTTGGGCCCGGCATGGTGGAATCTGTAATCCCAGCCTGTAATCCCAGCACTTTGGGAGGCTGAGGTGGGTGGATCACATGAGATCAGGAGTTCAAGACCAGCCTGACCAACATGGTGAAACCCTGTCTCTACTAAAAATACAAAATTAGCTGGGCATGGTGGTGCATGCCTGTAATCCCAGCTACTTGGGAGGCTGAGGCAGGAAAATTGCTTGAACTTGGGAGGCGGAGGTTGTAGTGAGTTGAGATTGTACCACTGCTCTCCAGCCTGGGTGACAGTGAGACTCTGTCCCCACCACCAAAAAGATGAATGTGGATCAATTATTCCCTTAGAGACAAATAGGAGAGACCCAAACTTTGGGCCTCCTGAGCAGTAAAGACAAAAGGAAGCAAAGAAAAAAAGTGATCGAAGAAAGAGGAGGAAAACAGTGCAGAGAAGTAATAAAAGAGAACCCTACATTTAAAAGTTGTTTGTTTGTTTGTTTTTGAGACGGAGTTTCACTCTTGTTACCCAGGCTGGAGTACAATGGTGCGATCTTGGCTCACCGCAACCTCCGCCTCCTGGATTCAGGCAATTCTCCTCCCTCAGCCTCCTGAGTAGCTGGGATTATAGGCACGCACCACCATGCCCAGCTAATTTTTTTGTATCTTTAGTAGACACGGGGTTTCACCATTTTGACCAGGATAGTCTCGATCTCTTGACCTCGTGATCCACCCGCCTCGGCCTCCCAAAACGCTGGGATTACAGGCTTGAGCCACCGCGCACGGCCAAAAGTTGTTATTTTAAATAAAAAATGTAACTGGTTTTAGCTGTCATAATATTTTAGATCATGTGAATTAGAACCACTGAACTCACTAACTAAGTTACTTCATTTTAGGTGTTCCAAGTAGCTGTTGGCTGTGATGATAAAAAATTCATTGCAGTTAAGGGGTAAGTATGTTTCCATTTGATCTGCATTACTCTTTAAGTTTCAAACAAATGTTGAACTAACTGATAATTACTAGTGATAAAAGCATAATGATTGACACATCCACAATGAAATCCAAAACAGAATCGTGTCTAGATTCAATTGGTTTAAACTTTTTGCCAAATCAAATACTATATTTGAATCATACTAAAAATAAAATGAATTAGCGTCTTTCTCTATTACCAGCATTTTTTTCACCTTTCCTTTTAATAAACCAATTTCTATCCTTTATTGTTGCCTCTCTCAATCCTTCAGTCAACAGCTCATTCCCAGAAAAACCCGGAGAAACCCTGTTTTCCACCTTCTCAAACCAGTTGTAATCTTATTTCCATGAGAGAACTGCTTCCACCCATATCAGAGAAGCCTCAGTTTTCTGCACCATTTTCTGTGGGAAATTTCTTAGAACAAGCCGAGCAGAACCACAGTGATTGCTCTAGAGAATCCCAAAGTGTGAATTCTGTCTGTTTTACTATGATTCACAATGAAGCACATTGGAGTCTGTGTCTTCCATTCACCATAGGTCTCTTTCTTCTACGTGGAAGAAATTCAAAGGCAGCATACAGAAGTCTGTTTAGCTGAGGCTAAATGTATACAGAGACAGAAATTTATTGTGATTCCTTTCCTTTCGTTGGAAGTGGGAGGGAGAGTGGGGGAACATTGACTCTTACCTATTTATGAAATTATTTGCTCTCTTCCAAAACAAATGCCTACTCCTCTGTCATTCTAATAATCTTTTGATTATTACTGAGTTGTATTAATCAGTTGCTGGATTGATAATCAAGTATTTGCATCTCATCCAGCATTTCCTAAATTTGCATTTCCTAACATCTTTGCACCTGTAATTCCTTTCCCAGGAAATGCAAAAAGGCTAGCTGATTTATAACAGCCTGTATCCTCCTATCTCAGGGAAGATTTTCATCTTTGCTCCTTGGATTATGGCCTATGGACCAATAATGGCATCACCTGAGAACTTGTTGGAAGTGCACATTCTCAGGCCTCACCCACAGCCGCTGCATCAAAATCTGCATTTTAACACAATTTCTGGGAGATTATGAGGGACATTAACATTTGAGAATAACTGCTCTAAATATATTACCAAAATTAATTCCCAGTACCACGGCATGCAGAGGCCCCTGATTTCCTTCCAGAGTGAGATGGAGAGTAGCTGAAGCAGTCTGTTTCTAGACGGGTCCAAATAGTGATTATCAAGCTTAGTTACTCATCAGAATCACTTGGAGAACATGTTTTAAAAACACAGATTCTAGGACTTTACTCTGGGCCTCTTAGTCAATGACCCACTTCTCTGAAACCCTAAAACTCTAGGATCTTTGGCTCAGGTTGCAGCAGGCCTATTGTTTTTACAGTCACTAAGGGAGACCTGGAATAGCGTGGGGTCCAAGACACTTCTGGAGAGCCAGGAGACTTGTCAGTGAAGGAGAGTCGTCAACTCTTGGGATTCAATTTGGGTTCAGCATGAGGGATGGTCTAGACTTCCAACAACGATCTAAAAATGGCGGTGACGAGAGCTCTTTAGAAGTTACATTGGAAGCAGCCAGCTAAAATGGTCAGATGAATGATTTACCTAACTAAAAACTTCTATAATTTCAAAGACCATGTAGCCTTCTTCTGTCTGCATGAACCCTAACCAGAAAGTATGTTCATCCTTAGCATAACTTCTTATCTGCACAGTCTCAAGGAGCAACCAGAAATCTTGGGTTTAAAAAAAAGTTTATGTCTAATAAAACAGTCCAAACAAATTTGCTTTCATTTTGATAGATTTTCTATGAGTTTTTATTTGTGTGTGCCTGTGCATGTTTTACCGTAGCTGCTTTTTTTTAATTTAAGTTTTATTTTTTTTAGAAATCAGATGTAAAATCTGTTCTGAAACACATAGCTGCTTTTTTTTTTTTTTTTTTCTGAGACGGAGTTTCGCTCTTGTTACCCAGGCTGGAGTGCAATGGCTTGATCTCGGCTCACCGCAACCTCCGCCTCCTGGGTCCAGGCAATTCTCCTGCCTCAGCCTCCCGAGTAGCTGGGATTACAGGCACGCGCTACTGTGCCCAGCTAATTTTTTTGTATTTTTAGTAGAGACGGGGTTTCACCATGTTGACCAGGATGGTCTACAAACTCTTGACCTCGTGATCCACCTGCCTCAGCCTCCCAAAGTGCTGGGATTACAGGCGTGAGCCACCACGCCCGGCCACATAGCTGCTTTTTAAAAAGTGCGATGAAAATCACAGAATATAAATTTACCAATTCAATGGAATTAAGTACCTTCACAATGTTGTATAGTTAGCACCACTATCTAGTTCCACAATATATTTGTCACCCCAAAAGGAAACTCTGTACCCGATTAGCAGTCATCTCCCATTCTCCCTTTCTCCCAGCCCCTGACAACCATAATCTGCTGTCTCAAAATCATAACCTCCATGGATCTGCCTGCTCTTAATATTTCACATAAATGGAATCATACAATGTGTGACCTTTTGTGTCCCACTGCATTACTTAGGCTTTTTTTGAGATTCAACTGTGTTGTGGCGTGTATTAGTCCCTCATTCCCTTTTATGGCTGAGTAATATTCCTTTGAATGGATATACCACATTTTGTTTACCTATCCAGCAGTTCAGGGATATTTGGGATGTTTCTACCTTTTGGCTTTTGTGAATAGGGAAGCTATGAATATTTGTGTACAAGTGTTTGTTTGAACACCTGTTTTGAATTACTGTGGGTATGTACCTAGGAGTGGAATTGCTAGGTTGTATGGTAATCCCATGTTTAACTTGTTAAGGAACCTCCAAAGTGTTTTCCACAGCAGCTACACTGTATCACTAGCAACATATATGGATCCCAGTTTCTCTGCTTCCTTGCCAATCCTTGTTTCTTTCTGTTTTGGAGGGTTTTTGGTTTTCATTCTGAATTGACAGATAAAATTGCACGTATTTAGTGTGTACAACATGATGTTTTAAAAATACATTGTGGAATGACTGAATCTAGCTAATTAACATATGCATTACCTCACATGGTTATTATTTTGGTGGCAAGAAAATACTTTATATTTATTCTCTTTGCATTTTTCTTTTTCTTTTCTTTTTTTTTTTTTTTTTGAGATGGAGTTTTGCTCTTGTTACCCAGGCTGGAGTGCAATGGTGCCATCTCGGCTCACTGCAACCTCCGCCTCCTGGATTCAGGCAATTCTCCTGCCTCAGCCTCCTGAGTAGCTGGGATTACAGGCACACGCCACCACCATGCCCAGCTAATTTTTTGTATTTTTAGTAGAGACAAGGTTTCACCATGGTGACCAGGATGGTCTCAATCTCTTGACCTCGTGATCCACCCGCCTCAGCCTCCCAAAGTGCTGGGATCACAGGCGTGAGCCACCTCGCCCGGCTGCATTTTTCAAGAATACAGTGTATCCTGAACTAAAGTCACTGTGTTGTACAACAGGTCTCTTGAACTTACTCCTCCTATCTAATTCAAATTATCTCTCTTTTGAGCAACCTCTCCCCAAGCCCTACATCTTCTATAAATTTTTAATAAGCATGTACCAAATATAAGAGATAAATCAGTAGATTTCAAATTCTGTTATCTCCTGAAACATTTACGAAACTGATGTTTTAAAAACAGAAATACTAAGGCCACACACTAACCAGAGATTCTAATTCAGTAGATGATGATTCTGTGACACTCTCCAGTTTGAGAATCGAGTTAAATGATTAAATGTTTGTGCAAATATATAAGAAATAATGATATTACAACTTCATCATGTTTTGTTTTTTGTAGATTTAGTAAAAAAGGATGTCATCACCATAATTTTTCTTACGTGATTGAAAAGTAAGAAATTTTTTAACGTAAGCATTGAGTTTTATATTAACATAGTACCAGTACTTTGCAGTCAGTACTTATTCAGTGGATTACGATTAGCATCCGTGTGTTTGGCTGGACAGTGGGCAGTCAGTTTTAGTACTAAGTAAAATGTGTACATGGTACAATAAACTTCTCTGACACATACAAGAAAAAGAGTCAGTCTCCCCCTTCAATTTAATTGGATGAACAAAGCAAGCCTCATTTGTATATACATAGTCTCAAATCCCATATTGTTCCCTCTCATTTAAGGAAGACATACAAGAATGTCTTTCCCTACATAATTTTTCTCAAATTCTACATGACTGAAGCCAGGTGCAGTGGCTCACAACAGTAATCTCAGCACTTTGGGAGGCCAAGGCGAGTGGATCACCGGAGGTCAAGAGTTCAAGACCAGCCTGGCCAACATGGCAAAACCCCGTTTCTACTAAAAATACAAAAAATTGGCCAGGTGCGGTGGCTCAAATTCTACATGACCATAGTTCAGCTAGTTAGAAGTAATATATTTACTCAGAAAGTCCTGACATCAACTAACTGAACTTTTTTCTAGATTTTATATTTAATTTATATTTAATTGTATGCATATTTATGTTTAATAATGTGACGTAGTAAAGATATAACTAAACACAATTTGATTTTACCTTTGTAAGACAGAGATCTTCATTTTTTAAATGTTAAATATTTATTTGACTGTCAAAATATAGAAGTCCACAGCCTCTGAAATTACATTCTATTTAATTAAAATAAATTTATTAATTAAATTTAATTAAAATAAATTATATTTAATTAAAATAAATGAAAGACTGTTTAACCAGTAGGCCTATTCTTTAAGTGATTTCGTTAATTAAGGCAGGGTGGAGGAGTGCCACAACCTAGATGCTCCAGGTCGCAGTGCTTGATGAAAGCAGTCGGTGAAACACAAGGATGAGAAGAAAATGTTTAATAGTTGGCAGGATACCGCCTTTCAGTGTCTAGGTGGCAACTGTGCCTGAAAAGCAAGAATATGAAATAGAGTCTACCACTGTGACGGGAATCTCCTGAGTCCGGCCCCTGGAGCATGGTCAAATATATGGAACATGTGGCTGGTAACAGTGATTCAAGTGTGAGAACTGAGAAGACGGAATGTGAGGGAGCTGATTTTTGAAGGAATACGTCCTTGAGTTCATGAATGTGAAGCATTCCGCTATAGTGAGAAATCCAAGTTAGGAAATGTCTGAAGTTTTAAAACACACATCTATTGTCACTGATTCTGAAGTATCTTATTCTTTGATCTGCTGATATTCTGGAAGGAACTGCATTGGAATAGCACAGTGGACATGGGCGTTATCATCACCCATCTTCTCAGTGGCAAAGGAAGGTTTGTAGCCTTGAGCGAGTTTTACACAACTTCGAATAGTATGAGACCTACAAAGAGAGGACAGTCATTCACACCTGAGTTGTAAGAACATGTTAATATGTGTGGAAATCCGTGTGGAAAGTGCCTGAAACACAGTGAGCGCTCAGTATCTTGTATTTATCCACCTGACCTTTATGATACCACCTTACCTAAACAAAGTCATGGGTTTAGTTTTTAAGTTTGAAAAGAGGAAAGAGAAGTAAATAATGATGAACATCTTTTTTACAGGTCATATCTGAGGCATCCACTATCTAAAAACTTGGTAAGAAACTATAAAATTTTGTCAGTGGACCAAATCTATAAAATCACTAAAGTATTTTTCCTTTTCTAGAAAGTAAGGTATAATTGGGAAGAATATGGCTGCCCCCTGAGGCTTGAGTTCAGAGAAAAGTTTCACCCTTTGGTTCAATTGTAAGTATATTCTCATCAACATTTTTAACTTGCATTGAAACTTTCAAACTAAAAGTATGAAAACAAGACTAATTGATCAGGCATCTAACAATACGTATTTTTGACTCAATATATGCGAGACTTAGTTTTCAGTACTAGTTATACAAAGCTGGGCTGTGATGGTGCCTGCATGTTGGGGAACATTGCAGTTTGGTAGCTGAGATTTCAGTGGGGAAGAGAGCTGAGAGCCTGTCTTAAGAAAGCCATCGCTTTATCCCCTCTGAATCTCTCCCCAAGCTCCTACCAGCACCCCTGCCTATTTGGTAGGAACTACCCTCTCCAGGTGATAAAACCCCTCTTTCCACAAGCCAATAAGAAATGAAAGCTTATGAGGAAAGAAGCTAGATTCCTGACAAGTACACTGAGGACATTTCAAACATATTATTTCTAATTCAGTTCTTCTAGACAGTATTTCAGCCAGGCACAGTGGCTCACACCTGTAATCCCAGTGCTTTGGGAGGCTGAGGCAGGATGGCCTGGGCCCAGGAAATGGAGATCAGCATAGGCAGCATAGCAAGACGCTGTTGTTACAAAAATTAATTTGCCAGGCGTGGTGGTGTGTGCCTGTGGTCCCAGCTACTCAGGAAGCTGAGAGGGGAGGATCACTTGAGCCCAGGAGGTAGAGGATACAGTGAGCCAAGATTGCACCACTGCTCTCTGGCCTGGGTAACAGAGTGAGACTGTTGGGGTCTGGCACATCTGCCAGGGGGCTACCGACCTGCGGGAGTCCCCGAGACCTCCAACATAGATGTCTCGTTCAACCTGAGGGAGAGAGTGCGTGGAAGTGAAAGAAAAAAGAAAAGCGGAGTCTGGAGGGCTGGCTTAGGCTATGTCCAAGCAGCAATTTTATTTTTGCAATATGTTCCATTATATACTTTTCTGAAGTTAATGTTGTTTATGCCAGATCAACATACTTAAGTTACAGTTAGCAAGTTATGCCCACAAAGTTATGCCCAGTAAGTAAGTTAAGCCCAGTAAGTCAGTTACGCCCAGTAAATTATGGTAAGTTACAGTTACACCCAGTAAGTTACGGTAAGTTACCAAGTGTAAATACTTAAGTTAATATTTTACAATGAAGGTAACAAGGGTTCAAAATGAACACAATCAAGCAATAAACCATAAGGAGCCGAAAGTGGACACAATGCCTCCCAAGTCCTCATATCCATAAAGTAATGTCTGTTAATTATTTTGAATAGCATAGTCCCTCTCTCAGTTCCTGCTTTCCCTCAGCTCAACTCCCCCAACCGGGGATCTGTGTCTGGGCTCAAGCTCACCGTATGGCGAGACCCATTTCCTAGGGGCCTCACACGGGAGCGATCCCCACAGATCCCTCATGAGACCTTGTCTCAAAAAACAGAAACAAATAATATTTCATAATAAAAATATGAATGAAATGCTATTAAGAAAACATTTCTAAGTGATTTTGTATTTGCTTTCTTCTCTGGCTCTATTCTTTAATTCTTGGTTTATTCTTATAAAAGTGATACCGTTTGTTACAAAATTTAAAATATAGAAAAAATATGAGGTAAATGACTCATATTTCTAAATCATTTGCTATTGTAAATAGATAATGAATATTCATTCACCCACATGTTTGGACACTAGTCCAGGTATGCTGTTAAGACAGATTGCTGGAAGTAAAATTCCCACGTCTAAAATACCAAAAAAATGTTTTAGTCAAGGCTTTCAGCTTCTGGGGACCTCTTAGGCTGCAGACAGTTTCTGAGATCTCTCAAGGTGGGTGGATATGGAAGTAATGAGTCAGGCACTCCAGTTTAGTTTCGCTACCAGAACTCTCCCCACTGGGGTCCTGTAGGCCTCTGCCAGCGTGGTCTGGCCTCTACCCCTTGCCCATGGCACTTCTAAGACTCTGCCGTGTGCCCTTTCCATCTTAAATCATACGCCACCAGTCTGCGAAAGGGCTCTCCATGCCATCCGGCTAATCTGCTGGCTTAGTTTTGATCTTCTTCTAGACATCTAATCATGTCACTGCTTTTCCTGGGCACTCGAAGCACAGCTCTCCCTGCCAGAGGTCTAGTCCATTTGTGTTTTTGTTTTTAGTTATATCATGCTTAACCCCCACAGGGTTAAAAGATCTTAATCTGTCTCGGAGAAGTATACTCTCAGTTCATCATTACTAAACAGCTGCTTTGCACCAAGTACTGTGCTAGGCCCTGGAAGTTGAAAGATGAGTGACAGGATTTCTACCCTCAAAAACAGAAGTGTCTGATAAAGCAGATAAACATATGCACAGATATGCTAAGTGTAATGATCGAATGGAGCAGTGTGGCTGGTTGGTATTGAAACTCAAAAGATTCCAACCCAGCTATAAAGAGAGTGGGGCTCTGGGTAATGTTCCAGAAGACGTGCATTTGAGCTGAGTCACTGAGTCTTAAAGGGTAATGAATATTTTGCTAGAGGCAGAGGAGGGAAGGAGAGAAGTGGAGAGAGTAATGTTGAATTCCACTGGGTAAGCATTTTAAGTAAAACAGATAGTTGGAGGAAGAAAATGTATAGTTCAAGCAATGTGATATTGTTGAGGCATAAACTAAGAGAAGCCGGGAACCTAGCTAGGTCGATTCCAGGCCACGGGAGCCTTTCCGCCAAGTCTTATGGCAGAGGGGCATGATCAAATATTTCCTTATCTGGTTCCCTCTGGGAGAGGTGTAGAGGATGAATTTCAGAGAAACAAATCTAAGCAGGAAGACCAGCCAGTCAACTGTATTGGTGGTCCCGGTCTATTGGTGGTCCCGGTCACGTGGGAGATCAGCAGGACTTGTTTTCACAACCCTGCAGATCAAAACAGGGTGTAGACAGGAAACTGGCCGAAACTAGCCAGGACTTGGAATTATGATGCATTTGCATAAGACATGCCCAGCAGCACCATGACAGTACAAATGCCAGCGTGGTCTGGCCTCTACCCCTTGCCCATGAAGACTCAGAAGTTTTCTTATATGGTCCAGGAAGTCCCTGCCCCTTTACTAGAAAATTCCCGAATAGCCATCCCCTTATTTAGCATTTAGGAATGTAGATTATAGCTAGCCAGCAACCCATGAGTGCTACTCTGCCTATCGGATAGCGCTGCTCCATCTACAGAGCAGCCATTTTGCTGTACACTTTGCTCTAATAAACTTGCTTTCTTTCACTGTCAGCTCACTTTTGAATTATTTCCTGAGCAAAGCCAAGAACCCTCCCAAGCGGAACCCCAAGTTCAGGGCTCGCCCGCATCACTAAGAAGAGAAAACAGATGACTGAAATAGCAACAAGGACAAAGAAGAATCCTGTATAAGAAAATCAGTGACTCTATAAACCGGGGACTCTCGGGGGGTGAGGGTAAAGGGAGGGACAGCGTTAGGAGAAATACCTAACGTAAATGACAGGTTGATGGAAGCAGCACACATATTCCTATGTGACAGACCTGCACATTCTGCACATGTATCCCAGAACTTAAATTTTTTTAAGAAAAGAGAGAAAATGAGTCATTCTAATAGGCAGGGCTGGATAATGGGTAGATGTGGGTGGTAAGGGAAAGAGGATGGGGAAGATGAATGACTCAAAGGTGACATCAGTTAGAAGGGATCCTCCACAAACTTCCACCACCATAACTGTCCATCTCCAAGACAACGTTCCAGGACCTCTGTCTGCCCTCCTGTTACTATAGATGAACTGTCTGGGTATCTGTCTACGGCCTGTCCCTCCATTTGTAAGCTAGACCCCCACTGGCTTTCCTAATCAAGAACATTACTCCTGAAACTCTCTTCCTCTTTCTCCTGCATCATCAACTTTTCCCTCTCTGCTGACTCATCATACAAATATACAGGTCTTTCTCCCACCAAAACATAAAGCAAAACAAATTCAACAAACACGGTCACACGCACAAAAAAAACCATCTCTTTACCCTAGTAGCCCTTCAGCTTCTGTGGTCACTTGCCATCAACTCCTCTTCCATCCTCTCCCAAATCACACAGTGTGGCATTTGTGCTCACCACTCCATTGGCACTGCCAGCCAACATGATTAGTGACGTCTGTTCAGCTGAACCAGTGGTCAAGACTCAGGTCGCACCTTCTGTCATCTCATTAACAGGAATTGACACCGTCAGTCATCTGCTCCTACTTGAAATGCGTCCTTCACCTGGCTTCCAGGAGAGCTTGTCCTCCCGTTTTCCTGCCCCTTTGCTGGTAGCACCCCCGCTAATTTCTTAGTTCCTCTCCGATTTCTTTTTTCTTTTTCATGATCTGGGATTTTGTTTTTAATTTTCTTAAGTCTTGTGGTCACCTATAACTTATAATCTTGCATACATCTCCTCTACTTTAATCCTTCTAATAAGTTGGCAAAGCGCCATTGCCAAGGACACATAATAGAGAATAGCTGTTTAAAGACAATCCTAGTTAAAACTTAGTGTGACTTAGTTTTTTCAAAGAGTTTGAAAGCAGTTTAACTTGCAACTATTTCTTGTCACAATGACTTTTAAAAGGTGACAAGTGTCCTCTATAAATGTGAGAAGTGTTTTTATTTGGTATTACTCATAAACCATTAAAATGCCTTTTAATAAGTAAAAGGCAGCATTTTAGATACAGGGAATTCTAATTAGATTAGCAGAGTTAAGACGAAAACCAGAAACAATGCGACCTTATCATAAGCCCTTGTCTTTCGCTGGCAAATGAACACAAATTAAAAAACAGGTGAGTCTTGCTCAGTTCCGAGACAGTGCAAGGATTTCTCCAGTATTAAAACATATTCATACTAAAATATATTCGTGACACTTGAGTCAGACACATCAAACTAAAAATCAGTCTCCAGTAGGTTTGGAAATGCCATTCTCCTCTATGTGAAAAATTGAACATTACTCATCAGGTCCAGTCATATCCTTAGAAGGGGAAACAGGGATAGCATTTACTGAGTCCAAATTACTGTCAAAATTCAAAAAACTCATCATGTTCCTTTCACCAGAAGCCAGTCTTACTTATCAGGGCTGCCCAACAAAAATATTCCGCCAGTCATTCATGAGCTGAATTCTGGTGTATGGAATCAGTTACACTACAGCACACATGAAGTCATGAGATAATTCTGGTTTGTGAGTAAATAAGGCAGTGGCCAATTCTTTCTGCCTCCTTTTTAGCACCAGTGGAGATCATTTTTGTTTCAGGGATGTACTTCTTGGGACTCTCCAATTTCTCTGTCCACGTCTCCTCTCTGTAGATGACGCCTTTGTTCTCACTGGTATCTCGTAAGAGGATACAGACACCTCACCTGTCTTCCACCCACAGAGGCCATGGAGACTGGGCCCAGTCTTATGCTTGCCTCCCTTTTCTGTGGTGTGGCACTGGATACACTTCTAAACAAAAAATGTTTGCTTTTTTCAGCATCTCCCATATTTAATTGCCTCTTTGGTCACTCGCATTACAAAGGCTCCCCCTTAGAAGTTTGACCCCCCTCCCTCCACCCCTACCCCCTACCCGCCTCCTTCCCTCCCCCTACCTCCCTAGCCTCTTAGTGTTGAGATGCCCCAAGGCTCAGGGATTTCTTTTCTTTTCTGTATTTTAGCTTTCTCTTTGAATGTCATCATCCAGTCGCGTGGGCCTAGATGTCTCAATATACTGATGTACCCCAACACTGCATCTACAGCCTGACCATCTCCCCTTGTATCCATCCAGTATGCTTAGGCTATGCTGCAATAACAAATAAATCCTAAAATCCCAGTGCCTAACTCTCCATGTCATAGTCTGATATAAAGAGCAACATCATCTGGACATGGTCTCTCCACGTTTGCCGCGGTGTGTGGGAAGAAGACTGGGGGGTTGTGTGGGATGTTGTAAAGGCTCAGAACTAGAGGTGGTTCCACCCACATCCCTTATCCAGAACCTATTGCCATGGCTCAAATCTAACTGCAAACACATACAGTTCCTGAACCCCAGACTCACACACCCACTGAGATGTTAAATACACATACCATTTTCCCACTTAGATGCTGGATAGATATAACAAACATAACCTGTCCAAAACTGAACTTTTGATCTTACCCTCAAAACCTGCTCCACCAATAGCCATCCCTATTTTAAGTGATAGCAACTCCATCCTTCTTGTTGATCTGGCCAAAACTTTGGAATCTCTGACTCCTCCCTCTCTCTTATACCCTACATTAAATCCATTAGCAAAGCCTGTTGGTTCTATCTGTCAATACCTGCTGTTAGGCTGACCCAGGCCATCATCACTGACCTGGATTATGACAATTGCCTTTTTGTTGCTCTCTCTGTTTCCACTCATGCATCCATGTAGCAGCAAGAGTCAAGCATTGAAAACAAAGTCAAGGCACCTTGCTCTTAAGCTCAAAATCCTTATCACTCAGTAAAAGCCAAGCCCTCACAGTGACTTACAAGGTTTTATTTGATTTTCTGCCTCTGCTACATTTCTACTATTAAACGTCACCTCACTCACTCAAAGGCAGTGGAGCAGCTTCCTTATTGTTCCTCAGGGAAGAGTAGTTTCTATTAAACGGTGAGAACAGAAGCCAGACTGCAGGGGATTTGCAAAATAAATTAGAAGTTTACAAGTAGGCAAATGTAGTCTACACTTTTTAAACTTTTGGCTGGAAAATAGAAGAAAGAGACAGTGTTGGGGTCCGGCACGTCTGCCGGGGGGCTAGCAACCTGCGGGAGTCCCCGAGACCGCCAAAGTAGATGTCTCGTTCAACCTGAGGGAGAGAGTGCGCGGAAGTGAAAGAAAATAGAAAAGCGGAGTCTGGAGGGCTGGCTTAGGCTATGTCCAAGCAGCAATTTTATTTTTGCAATACATTTCATTATATACCTTTCTGAAGTCAAAGTTGTTTACGCCAGATCAATGTACTTAAGTTACAGTAAACGAGTTACGCCCAGTAAGTAGGTTACGCCCAATAGGTCAAGGTAAGTAAGTTATAGTCATGCCCTGTAAGCTATGGTAAGTAAGTTACAGCTATGCCCTGTAAGCTATGGTAAGTAAGTTACAGTTACACCCAGTAAGTTACGGTAAGTTACCAAGTGTAAATACTTAAGTTAATATTTTACAATGAAGGTAACAAGGGTCCAAAATGAACACAATCAAGCAATAAACCATAAGGAGCTGAAAGTGGACACAATGCCTCCCAAGTCCTCATATCCATAAAGTAATGTCTGTTAATTATTTTGAATAACATATAGTTCCTCTCTCAGTTCCTGCTTTCCCTCAGCTCGACTCCCCCAGCCAGGGATCTGTGTCTGGGCTCAAGCTCAACATATGGCGAGGCCCATTTCCTAGGGGCCTCACACGGGAGCAATCCCCACAGATCCCTCAGGACAGGAATTTACCTATAGAGAAAAACACAAAATGTGATGTGGATTTTCTTAAAGAGGAAAGATATATGAGCTTGTTTACAGTTTGAAGATGAAGAAAGGAAGGTTAAACATTAGTCATTTTGATTATAGTAATATAGCAGACTGAGCTAAGTTGAGTCACTCCCTACCCATGATAGACATGCGATCCTGGATGAAACATGACATAAATATTTTGTGCATAACTAAGCTTGAAAGAAAGAAGGCACACTCTCCAGAAGTGAAGAGGGAACTGAAGTTAGAGCAACGCTCTTCAGCCTGTGTATCGGTTTAGGAGTATTGGCTCAGGATAATGGAACTAGAAATTAGAAGCCAGGTTAAAGCTCTGTGAGGCCAAGAGGTTCTTTGATGAATTCAGGATATATTAAGAGCTACCTAGTCCAAAAAGAGAGAGAAAGATAGAGAGGGAGGGACTAGAAAACTCTGCTTAATGCCGAGGTCAGCCACAAAGAAAGTTGTAACCTACGTGAATTCGTAGGCAAACCTTCTGCAGACCCCCCAGAGTCAAGGCCCAAGAAGTTATGGCATCCGAATACAGAAAATTAAAGTCCTGGCTAATACAACAGGATAGCCACAAGGATTTGTCTAACAGGTTTGCAGGTCCACAGAGAGGTCTCTTTCCCAGTTCCCAAAATAGAGCTGCCATCATGGGAAAGTTACAAATTGCAGGGAAGAGTTGCCAACTAGAAACATTTCTGAATTTCTTAGGCTTCATTAGTATTATACCCTACATTGAAAAACATTAATGAAAATAAGTCATGCTTACGTAGACAAGTATTGTTTCAAAAATTTTCAATGGTATAAATAAAACATTATAAAAGATGTTTACAAACCCAGAAATTATAGGTCATGTAATTTATACTTATTGCCACTAGATGGCACTGTAGCTCAGTGCTTTGGGAAGCAGAGGCGGGAGGACGGTTTGAGGTCAGGAGCTCAGGATGACCCTGGGCAACATGGTGAGACTTCCCATCTCTACCAAAAAATGTAAAATGTACTGGGTGTGGTGGCGCACACCCATCGTCCCAAAGTTAGGAGGACGCCTTGAACCCAAGAGTTATAGTGAGCTATGATTGTGCCACTGCACTCCAGCTTCTGCAACAGGGCAAGACTCCATCTCTAAAATACGTATAAATAATAATAATTTGAGAGTCTGATGACTTTTGGAAGATGCAAACATCCTGCTCTTTCCAAAGCTGCTAGAATTAGAGCTTTGCTAAGCCTGACCCAAATCTCTGAAACTATGCAAAAACGCATGTATGCCTACACACGTGTGCATTTGTCTGTAGCGAAACGGTCCCAGAGCTCTCATTCGAGTTTTACAATTCTCTGTGGCCTTCCTCCCCGTCAGAAAAGAAGCCAAACACCCACTCTCCGTTCCCTAGCTAGTCACGCGTCTGTTTGAGAACCAACCTTGTGAGTTCATTTCCTTATGATTTCTCAAAACTAAATAGGATGGACAGAACATAACCTCCCAGGTACCAGCTTTTGACATTTAAAATGTTTGTCCCCAGTTTGTGAGAATGAGACAATATATGCTTTTAATAACAAGGGTTAGATGGTAGCAAGTTGTAGCAGCCCTAGAAGGCCAGGTACACCTCCAATAGAAGCAGAGATGTGGGCGGTGACTAGGGGCCACTGTCCAGGAGCTGCTATTTTCTGTGCATAGACACAGAGCTGTGAGAGAAGCAAGTTTTATCAGAAGGTGGGGCAACAGTCCCAGAGCCAGCGGCCTCCAAGCAGGTGCCTGACGCTAAGGTCCTAAGTGAAATTCTACCCAATTTCATTCATAAATATGCGAGTAACTGACAGAGAAGGAAAACACGTAACCATTCTTACAGTCGCAAGTTCTGGTATACAAAGGCGCAACTTCATCACTAACTGAACTTTTAGCTCTGATTTCAAGCCTCTGTGTTCCCATGGTAGCAGGAAAAAATATATATTAATATGAAACAGCACAGCCCTTTTGAAAATGCACTGTTTGAGGTAAAGGAGCCCAATGGGGCCTGTGTCTCCAGTCTCAGCGTCCAGGCAGCGACACCCAGTCCATCTCGGACTCTCCTGCCTGCTGCTGGCAGAGGTCGTCATCCATCCTCTGAGCATGGGCGAGGCGTGACTATAGATCCAGGGAGCTCACAGGCTGCATCCACCTCTCAGCCCTGCCTCGGCTTACGGACGCATCTGATCCTTCCAGACTCAGCCACACCTTCTAGCTGGTTCCTCCTCCCAGGGGGCTCTGCAGCTTCTCCGTTGCCATCATAGTCATTCTGTGGTTTCATTCTCTAGTATATCTAGTACATAATAGGCAGCCACTGACTATATGAGCTAAAGGACGCCAGGGCATCGTGCTCTGCCCCTTCTCCATCCATCACACCCTTCTGTCTTTCTCCCTGCTAACACCCAAGGCAGCAGTGCCTAAGCTACCCTCACCTGATCAAGGGATGGCCCCTGTCCAAGGAAGAGAACTCAGAGTTCCAACTGGTCAAAAAGTAAAACATTTCTCCTTCATTACTATCAGGTTTTATTTTGAGAGCTGAATGAAATAACATCTGTGTATTTCATCCAGCTGTCAAGAGACACCTATACAGTAGGTACTGTTATTATTTTACAGCAAAAAAAAAAATTTTTTTAAATCGAGACTTGAAGAGTTTTAGCCAGTAGGTAGCGTGGCCAAGCGGTCTAGGGCGCTGGATTAAGAGTTTAAATAACTCCCGCAGAGTCACAAAGCTATAAAGTGATAAGGACAGGATTTAAAGCTAAGCGCATCTGACTCAGAAGCCGGAACGCTTAACCACTGGATTTCATGTTAAACCAGTATCCTTCTGTTTGCTGTTTCTTTCAGATTTGACGCTAACGGCTACGTTAAAGACATGGAAGCAAATTTCATAGTGTGGGAAATACACGGCAGGGCCGACTACAGCTTTAACAATACCATGGCGCAGGTACGGCGTTTCCGGACCGGACCGGAATGTAGCTGCGACTACACAGTGTCTTTCTGTTTTAAACGTTTATATAAGCGATCTAAGGAACATGGGAAAAGGCAGCAGTGGGTAGAAAAAAATCACCTCTAAATTAAATTCTATGGCTACTAAAATTCATTTATGGAAAAAAGAGGATGTCGTCACATAAGACAGACATAAAGGGGTCAGAAAAAATAAAATAACATTTGAGGTAGGACGATGCAACTATATGCGTCTTCTTTTCTCTCCAAACTGTATTCGTTGTTCGATTATTTCTGGGTCTGCTTTGGCTTTCGGACATGTGTCACTTTTGCACCGAGTCGGGCGGACAGTCCAGGCTGCATCTCGCGGAGTCTTCTCCGCATCATTTGAGCCCACTGACTTCGGCTTCAGTGTCCCTGCACCCTCCTGATCTTGGCCTCCTTGAATCTCCCTTATTCTACCCTTTCCCTCTGTGGGCCACAGAGTGGCCTTACCACTCCCAATCCACACATGTCCCCTCCCTGTGTGGCCCTTTCTGCCCCGAGGACCTCCTGTCATGATGGAGCCTCTCTACAAATTCCCAGCACTGATTTCTAACTTCCCCCACAGATTTCACTCTCAAAAAAAAAACCAGGAATGGCTCTTTCCAAAGTAATGTTCTTATCTACCACCTTAATTATCGAGAAGTATAACCCATCTAGATGGCTGTCAAGAGGACTGAGTTCCACCTGCCACCCTCAGAGTATTGCAAGAATTCTCTCTCTCTCTCTCTCTCTCTCTCTCTCTCGTCTTGCTCTGTTGCCCAGGCTGGAGTGCAGCGGCGCAATCTCAGCTCACTGCAACCTTTGCCTCCCGTGTTCAGTGATTCTCCTTCCTCAGCCTCCCAAGTAGCTGGGACTACAGGCATGCTCCACCACGCCTTTTTTAGTAGAGATGGGGTTTCACCATGTTGACCAGGCTTGTCTTGAAATCTTGACCTCAAGTGATCCACCCACCTCAGCCTCCCAAAGTGCTGGGATTACAGGTGTGAGCCGCCGCACCCAGCAATTGTCTTTCAATTATGTAACCAAATACATCCATCCCACCACACATTCCACCTATGCTTGTTCAGCACCCAATATGTCAGTTCTCCTGGTCTACTTCCTCTGCATAGTCTCATCCCTATACTGTTATATCCATCTTCCCCCTTTGTCCAGACTCCTGTCACACTCTTCCTTCGCAAACCTTTCCATTATACCTCAAGGTTAAATGCTCTAGATTCTTCTTCAGTAAAAGTGCCTCAGAGGATAACCCCTTCCCTACCGTTCTATCACAGCAAGAGTATGCTTTCTCTCACCCCATATACGTAAGGGTGAGATTTGGGGTTGATGTTCTCCCTCATCCATAGTATCATTCCTGCACTTGATCTTAGCCAAAAGTCCACCAAGAGATATAGTATTATTTCCAAGTCATTATCTCTTCGCTCTAAGTAAAGCTCCATTTATCTGAGGCTCCTGCATTCCGTCGACATCTATGCCATCCCTACCTACTGATACCTTATACTCAGAACTGGATCTTTTCTTCCTGCCCTGAAAACAATCAGAGTTGACTCCCTGAATTCTGCCATCCATCCCATAGGGTCATTGCTGGGGAGCTTTCTAAAAAGGGACTACATTTCCCAGACCCATTTGCATCTCAGAGCAACCCCAGGTGATTGCCTCCCTCAGCCTGCCAAAGTGCAATAACGGGTTTTCTGGAAGTGATCAGCTCCAAGAAAGGAATTGAACAACTCTGATACAGGCATGGAGAAAACAGAAGATGGGGCCTGCTGTCTTTCTTTTAGCAGAAAGATAAAGCATAGGAGGGGCCATATGACTGGTTCTCATGGCTGGAATGTGACAGAAGCCATATGTGTCACTTCCAGATGAAATGCTTAAGAAGGAATCACGGGAACCTCCACACTTTCCATCGTACCTCTCATCAGTGTTATAGCAACAAGGAAGGCTGGAGTTGATGAGAGCTGGAGTGCCAGGAGCCGCTAGGCATCAAAAGCCTTGGTTCCTAATTTACTGCTTTGAGGAGAGAGGAGAGGCACCATCAGAACCATCTAACCAGGGGCATCTGCATTGGACTATATGTGATCAAGAATTAAACTCGTATTCTGTAAATCCCCTGAGAGTTGGGATTTATTATTGCAGCCCATAGAGACCATCTCGACTAATATAGCTGCCCCCATTAAAACTGCATTTAAGGACTGGAGCTGGTGGCTCACACCTATAATCTCAGCACTTTGGGAGGTTGAAGTGGGAAGATCGCTTAAGCCTAGGAGTTCTAGACCAGCCTGGGCAACACAGTGGAACCTCATCTCCACACACACACAAATTTTACTTAGCCAGGCATGGTGATACACACCTGTAGTCCCAGCTACTCAGGAGGCTGAGATGGGAGGATCGCTTGAACCCAGGAGGTCAAGGCTGCAATGAGCTGCGATCATGTCACTATACTCCATCCTGGGTGACAGGGCAAGATCCTGTCTCCAAAAAAAAAAAAATTGCATTTCAGTTCAAACAGTGCATCCTCTGACCTCAACCCCAATTTTGTAGCTCTCACTGTTACTCACACTACTCCAGTCTCCTACTTTCATACAACCTGGACGTCTGCTGTACTGAACCTTCTGCTTTCTCCTTCTCACTCACGCTCAGCTTTCTTCCCTTCCCTTCCCTTCCAGCTTGAGCTCCGCGGTTCAGTTATCCACCACCATTCTGCCAATATCTATTTCTCTGTAGTTCATTTCCCCAGTATTGCTTCTGCTTGCTCTTAGGGCAACTTTAAACACCCATCTTTCTGCTTTATCCACGCCTGTATCTGTTGCTCAGTTCCTATCTTGGAGCTGATCACTTCCAGAAAATAAATTATAGCACTTTGGGAGGCCAAGGCAGGCAATCACTTGAGGTGATTCTGAGACCAGCCTGGCCAACATGGTGAAACCCCGTCTCTACTAAAAATACAAAAATTAGCTGGGTGTGGTAGCACACCCCTGTAGTCTCAGCTACTCGGGAGGCTGAGGCAAAAGAATCGCTTGAACCCAGGAGGTGGAGGTTGCAGTGAGCCAAGATCGTGCCACTGCACTCCAGCCTGGGCAACAGAGCAAGACTCCATCTCTGAACAAATAAATAAATGAATATATCTTGGAAAATTATGAATAAATAGAAACATCTTTCACCTAATGAAATATAGATACAAAAAAGTATAGCAAATATTATATTTAATGGTAAAAATTTGAATACTTTCACTTTGAAGTCAGGAGCAGAACAAGGGTGGCTGTTACCACCACTTCTTTTTTTTTTTTTTTTTGAGATGGAGTCTCCCCTCTGCCCAGGTTGGAGTGCAGTGGCGTGATCTCAGCTCACTGCAACCTCTGCATCCCAGGTTCATGTGATTCTCCTGCCTCAGCCTCCCAAGTAGCTGGGATTGCAGGCACATGACACCACACCCAGATAATTTTTCTATTTTTAGTAGAGACCATTTTCACTGTGTTGGCCAGGCTGGTCTCAAACTCCTGAACTCAGGTGTCATCACCACTTCTATACAACATGATTCCTGAAGATCTGCATAATAAAGAAAAAAATAATAAAAACAAAAGGCATAAGGATGGGCAAGAAAAACATAAAACTGTCATATTCACAGATGACACAACTGTTCACATGAAACAATTAGAATTACTAAGTGAGTTTAAGAAATTTTCTCAGCCAGACACGGTGGCTCATGTCTATAATCCCAACACTTTGGGAGGCTGAGGCAGGAAGGTGGCTTGAGGCCAGGAGTTCGAGGCCAGCCTTGGCAACATGGCAAGTCTCCATCTCTACAAAAAGTAAAAATTAGTCAAGCATGCTGGCACATGTCTGTAGTCCCAGATACTCGAGAGATTGAGACAGGAGGATCACTTGAGCCCAGGAGCTCGAGGCTGCAGTGAGCTGTGATCATCACAGCATTGCAGCCTCCACAACAGAGTGAGACTGTCTTAAAACCAATTCTCTAGACACAAGATCAACATACAAAAATCAGTTGTCAATTATTCCTCTGTATACCAGCAAACATTTAAATAATGAAAGTTTTAAAAATACAAAATGTTCAATAGCATAAAACATTACATATTTAGGAATAAGTTGATATGAATACTTGTACCTACCCACATATATATGCACTATTTTGACAGAGCGGTTGTTTACAAACGGCACAGACATGGAAGTCAATGATTGAACTTAACAAGCACCTCCCGTTGGAAGAAGTCTGGGGACCTGAGGTAAGAGAAACATTTCCTTGCAAACTGTTGGTTTTGAATAACTAATCTGTCAATTTGCTACTAGCAAAAACTTGATAGAAATACTTTGGATTTAAATTTGTTTTGGTAAATCAAATCCTGTTTTAATATTGAATTGTATCATAGTATTTTTTTAATGTTTCCTCTTAGTTTCTGTTTGGTCTTTTGTTGATTGTATTTTAATTGTCACTGCTGTAAATGCGTGTTTTCAGATTATTAAAACTCTGTTAAACAGGTAACAACATCAAGAGCGAGTCTTTGTAAAGACTCCCTAGCTCCCTGACTTCTTCAGGTTTTTACTGAAAAATCAGGTCATCAGTGAGGATTTCCCTGGCACCATATGGAAAAATTAACCATCACTTTCATGAAAGCCCATCTCTCCCCTATTTCCTTTCTTTTCTTTTTGAGACAGAGTGCAATGGCACAATCTCAGCTCACTGCAACCTCCGCCTCCCACGTTCAAGCAATTCTCCTGCCTCAGCCTCCCGAGTAGCTGGGACTACAGGCGTGTGCCACCCCCTCCAGCTAATTTTTGTATTTTTAGTGAGACAGGGGTTTCACCATGTTGGCAAGGCTGGTTTCAAACT